GACGTGGATATAGATGGACGTGGATATAGATGGACGTGGATATAGATGGACGTGGATATAGACGGACGTGGATATGAAAATGGGTATTACGTATCACAGAAGCCTCAAGGCGTCGTCGTCGAACCCTGCTTTCTTTTTGGTTGGGAGAATGTGTCAGAGACTTCATTCAGCAGCGCCTTGACCGACTGAGCACTGCAACTCAAGGTGTTCGAGTCATGCTAACAAGAAAAGCACCAACAACACCAAACACCCGTCCCATGCACCACATGCATTCTTTTGATGACAACAAGCAATGTCACGGAGCCTTGTTCCGCGGCCACCGATCCTCCTCCTGGTGCTGCCGTCTCAAACGCCGTTCAATGTCCCGGGCCAGTTTGACCGAGGGCACATCGATGGTCCTCCAGAACAGATCCGCAACGCACAGGAAGAACGGCAGCATCATGATATAGCCAAACACCCAGATAAACATAAATTGAGCAAGAGACGTGTCCTCGCGGACGTATGCCCCTGTGAGAGACCGCAGTCTCCCAATGACCACATACCCCAGCGACCTGATCAACATCCCGTGCGTGAGATAGAGGGCAAAAGAAATTCGCCCCAGATATTGTGCGATTTCGTTGTTGAAGATGGGTGAGACAATGTCCGAGTTGATGCACGCCCATGTCGTTATAACCGCCCCGAGAAGTCGGATCAGCCTGTTCTTTTCGACAATGTAAGTTGGGAGGAGACGAGCCAGGAACACATATGATGGAGTCGTGACTGGCTCGACAAGGGGGATGGAGAGGATGTATAAGCCGACAACAAAACAGAGGCCCCATGCAGCCGACCGGACATCCGGTTGCTGAAGCCATTCTAGACTCTTGTAGGGCGACGACGATGGCGAGAGTGACTGCCTTCCGAGGATGGGGCCACGTCCCTGTGACCGTGCCACACGTCCAAAATGCTTTCGAACCAAATCAAGTTCCGCGATAATCATGCCGCCAACAAAGAGACAGATGCTGCGATATTCCTGCGATGCACAGAACAGTGCAATGACCGTGTGGAAAAAAAGCCGCCATCCACTGGAAAGCATCGATGTTCCCACTATGAGCATGAAGATGGCCATGCTCGACTTCAGTTCGACGGGAATCGTCCACACGTGCGCGTCGTAGACAAAGTAGTCATGCTGACTCGGCTCTCCAGGCACTGAACCTCGAGCAAGCATGTAGAATTCAGTAAGGACGTCCGAAGCCTGTGCCAAAAATGTGTCTGCCAATGGTGGAGGTTCCTCGCGCATTAGACGAGGCTGTGGGCTCCCTTCCAGGATGCCATCCTCGATCATTTGAGTCACGTTGTTCCTTGCGTCAAACGCCTCGATCTGTGCCGCATTGATGTCGTTGCATACGTACCTTGCAGGTTCGAAAGCCCGCATCTGCGTCAAGGTTGCTATAATCACCACCACCGCCAGTGTGGGAAGCATAAGGCGGAATGTCCTGCGGAAAATCGACGACGCAATGCATTCGTACATCGCTTGAGGGCTGGATGAGTACAGCAACCCCAGCGGTTTGCAGGAAAGCACGTAGCCTGACATGACAAAGAACAAGTTGACCATAGCCTCTCCACCCCATAATAGCATAACAAAAGGTTTCCACATGAAGCCAGTGGCGAGCTCGGGCATAGCGTATGGTCGCCAGGGATCATCCACTGCACACGTCCAGTGCTCATGTAAGACGATGAGACATGCAATGCCTCGAAGGCCGTCGAGCGCGGATATCTTGTCGGGCAGGTTCGACGTCGATGACTTCACCGATGCGGACTTCGAGGCAAAGCTCGGCGTTAGCCATAGCAGGAACCTATGAACAGACATGGTAAACCATTGAGCTGCATATATGGGTTGATAATCAGTACTCAGCCAGCCCAACTAAGATTCAACAGGGACTGTTCTTACCGCCATTCCCGAGCACTGCAAAGTTCAGCCTTCCGTTGTTCATCGACCGAGACCTCGTAAAGGCCTTGCCGCCGCCTTCAGTCATCATGTCGCAAAGGGGCGTCTAGGTACCAGACTTGTGAGGTCGTCAGCGGGTGAGTCCAAACCAGCATAGCGTAGGGAAGAGGGCACCCCTGAAAGTTTGCTTTACCATCTGGCCAAATTCCCAGAGCTGGCGTGGCTGGAAAGGTCCCCAGAATGGTGCACTGAGAATGCTGACCCCAAACCTAGCACACAACGGAGAACAGCTCCTCTCCTGTTCCAATCCGTAATTATGTCGATGATGATTGTCGAAAGTTCCAAAGGGATGAGAAACCCTGTTCGTATCTTTTGGCACGGCCCTCCGCCAATGCTGGCGCCGAATCCCTGTGCCACGATCGCCAGGTACCCGGACGGAGGCCCACAGATGGAGAGAGGCTAACGACGAATAAAAAGCGTGTGAACTGCAGGGGAAGGATCAGCAAACAAAGGGCCCGGAAAACACCCCCAACAACCCCTTGCTTAAGTTGTGCCTGGAAGGCGACGCCTGGTGTACCAGTGAAGCGCTCATACGAAGCACGGACTCTTAATGTTTCAACTGCCAATCGCCTGCGGACCTCGACACACGGTGGTGCAAGGTATGTGGTGGCGGTTTTTGGAGGTTCAGAGCTGTCCAATGTCCACAGTTTTCCACAATGATTTCTCCGTGGGAGGAGCGGGCAGGTTGAGCTTCGGCAGCTCCGAGGGGTCACTCTCGTTCATGCGGAATGGGAAGTAAATGCTTCTTTCCTGGTTCTTGACTATGATAATGCTGGAGTGCTGCCATATGCAAGCAGAGTCGTGGAGTAAAATGAACGCTCTGGCAGAGACATGATAACTTGTATCCACTGCTATCGCGGTGCTCACGAGCCAGCTCACCACTTCAATATGCTGCTTACGCAAGTCGTCTCCTTTGCGTGCCCTTAATTTCCTACTGAGGTAGTCGCCTTGATCGACGTACAAAGAAAGGGAACATGGAAGCGCCGGTCACCGGTGCGTATGGCTCAGTCTCTGACTTATCTTGTCGATCGCAGGCAGGACACCCAGGTACTCGCTACTCCTCGTCCGCACCGGCTCACGAACGCTGATCTAACACTACGGATCCTTTAGTCCTCGATGCATGTGACAGTCCAAAGGTGATGTCATAAGGAAGTGTACTAGTAGGACTGACTGATGATTCATCTCCATGCCATTATTGGGATTTTTCAAAGATCGAACCTGCTCGACTCGAATACTACTCGTATGCGTATAGAGGATTCGCTAGGGGAGCGACGATGGGACACCTTCTCTTCACCCGACTTGGCTTTTGCACCAGCCAACACGACTCCTGACGCTTGCGGCAGCAGAAAAAAACGGCTTAAGCCTGTTTGGATCCTAGACTTTTGGTGGCGTCAGCCATGTCGCCATAATTTAGTGGCTGATGAAAGGGTTCTTAGAAGTGGAGTCTGGCTATATAGCCCGACAGCCTCGGCCCTTAAACCCCTGAAAATTACCTTACTCAATACGAGGTACTCGATACACGTAAGTACAGACTAGGGGTCCGCTGCCTCGATCCGAAATTGCACGCTCTAGCTCGCCTATCGAAAGCCCCTATTCCAAAAAGAATGATTGTACCTGAGGGGCTTCACTCACGATTCGACCAGGGAACGCTCTTGCCGCTCATGACCACGAATGGCTGGTCACCGTGGAGACATGGACTACTGTAGGTCAAAACTGACTCAGAGGCTCTTATCGTGTCGTCCATATCTCAACAGATCCGCACCCGGATCTGCCCTGGCTAGCTCTTTGCAGTTGGCTGTCTGTCACCTCAGGGGGGAAAGTGTGTCTCAAGTGGCATTTACCTTTTTGTTTATCCCGCCATGTCCTAAGTATTACTTCACGTCGGACGACAACTCTCCCTGGTGCTTCAAGGTACTTGGCAATGTTGCGAATATGAGGTGGGAGTCACGGACGTGGTCGACTGTATCTATCTCAGCATGCAATCCTCATCCTCTTCGGTAAAAATGAAGCTCGATATCCTGCAGCAGTATGCGATGCCTGGGAACATCCCATGGACTAGTCGCAAGGTCAGAATCATTGCAGTTCTGTGCGGGATCCTATGCCTTCGTTTCTTTCTTGGAGCTCTCGACGTCAAACCTCTCTCGGTATGCAGCGTCTGACAAAGTGGCCGCAATGTTCTCTAGCTAACATATTGCCCAACAGTCCCGGTTGCCTCATGCGCTCCGGCAGCAGACCTATCTCGACCAGGAAGGCTTTCAGTCGATACCTATAACCGGCTTCGTCAACACCGGAGACCTTGCAAGCCGCACATGCGAAGACTTAAGACACGAAGGCGAGTTGCGGGTGCACAAGAGCTTGTACCTCGAGGATGACCTGGAGCACATTGCACGATCATTGGCAGGCCATCCGATGATCGACTATTCCCAGCAGGAGAAAGGGCTGACATTTCGACAAATGGTGGCCAAGACCTGGGCAAGGCTGTCCGGGTCAAGTGTGTGGATCGAGAAGTTCAAGGTCTACCTGACCGTCACCAGAGTCATCTTCTACGACAACGGCCTCCGACACAAACCCGTCATCAGTTTCCTGGCGGGCCAACTCCATGACGAAAACTGGAACGAGCTGAAGAATTACACCATCCAGTGGCAGAGCGAAGAGATCAAATTCCCCACGGTGTTCAACATCCCCGCCCCATTCAAGAAAGGCGACCGCTACTTTGGGCCTGAAGATCCCCGAGTAATTCTCGAAGAGGGAGTTGACGACGCGGAGCCCATTGTTACCTTCAACATGCAATTCGACCTAATCACTGGAGACCGGGCGATGTATATCTTCCGGCCCTTTTCCAATGATACGACCGTCTTGACCATCACGGGCCAGACGCAGAGGGCACATGCAGAAAAGAACTGGGCACCTTTCTTCATCAACGAGCACGAGCCCATCTCGCCAGGCCACTACAAGTGGCCCAGCCACTATATCCACTTCATCTACGATTTCAACCCGCTGAGGGTGCTCAAATGCCACACCCTCAACGGGTGGTGTCATTTTGTGTACGAGCAAAAAGTTCCCGACGAGCTGAGAGGCTCTGGCCTGAGCGCGAACGGGCGGATGACGGGCGGGACCAACTTGGTGCCGTTGCAACTGGAAGCACATTCTGACCTCAACGCATGGGTCGGTTTCCCCCGATCCCACATCAATATCGGGTGCACCGACGACTTGGCCATGTACCGGCCAGAGATGATGATCATGACGGCACACGGCGATCACTTCTACCTCAGCTTCATGTCGGGGCCTATCGATTTCGGCACGGCGGCCATGACGCCCGAAGCCATCAACGACCCGTGCGGTGAGGGCAAGGTCGTGATAGCCAACAGCATCGCCAAATGGGACCGGCGGCCAAGCCACGACGTTCTGACGCTGACATTTTCAGTGGCCGACTCGACCGTGCAGATCATGCAGCTCGCGAGCCTCTCCAAGTTCGTGAGCCAGCTGCCCCGCGTCGCCCATCTGGATGGTGCCTTCCTGGCCGACATGTCCAGCCGGAACAAGACCGAGTGGGATCTGCGGTACACGGCCGTGAGCAAAGATGTCCTGGACTGTACTATGGAGGTCGCGTCGTACTACTCTGAAATCATAGCAGCTCCATACAAGGGCCTGTCCAAGGAAGAGCTCACGTACGCGAATGGAAAGTGGGACTGGAAGGCCGGAGCTGTCCTATGAAGGGCATGAGATGGGAAAGTAATCCTTCCTCAGCTAACCAGGAGGGAGGCAAACCCTGGTCCAAGCTAGAAAAGGAGTGAGGAATACAAACAAACTTCCCGCCTACCGCATCAAGAATGACACGCCGACACTCTGACCGGTCTGACTCGACTATAATAACAGCACTGGTCACATCATCCAGTGTTCACGTGGTCAAAGACACCACAGGGATAGAACGAGGAGGATTTGACAACAATTTAGCCGGGGAAATGATTTTCGCAAACCCCTTTACATTTTTTGACTTCTTTTGCGAAGATAAAGGCCCTAAAAGTCCCTCCAACAGAAGAAGCATCGAGGCGCCAACGGCAGTCGGGAGTTGAAAAAGTGTAACGGACTGGTTTGACGATGCGAGTGTCAACTCGGCTTCGATGCGATTATTTGATGACACGGAATCATTTCCAAGGCAGTTTCCTGGCATGGATCGATAAGGTGGCGCTGGGATGAAAGGGGGGTGCCGGAGGCAAGGAAATGTCGATCTTCGCAGAGTCCGTGTAGATCGGCAGATGGACGCGCAAGGAGCTCTGGCTGTACATGTATGAGTATGTGTGTGTCTTCCCCTGAATATCGGCAGTCATACGCAATAGACATAGAGGTATAGCAACAACGACGAGCCCATGAGAGCGGACGAAGTAATCTGTTTTTGTAGTCGCGATGCATGCGTAACGTTACCTGTGTCGAGTGTATTTCTTTCGAGTGCCATTCTTGACCGAGGGTAAGTAATCCCTGAGAGGCAAGAGTACACATGCGAAGTACGGAGTACATATACCTTCCACACGAGCATCGTTAGACGACGGGCGGACGGATACTCGGGCGCTGAGATGCAGTTATGGACTTTCACACGCCTCTTCCTTTCCCTACACTCTCTAACTCTACTCTGCCCTACTCTACTCTCGACACATAAGTTGCCTACACAGTTACTCGTACGCTAAACTTTTCAACAAGTAGTCCCACCCACTTCCAGAGAAGGGAGGTCGGGTTCGAAGAGCACCCTGTCGCGTCATATGGACTTAGTCCATGACTGATTCATATGAAATTAGGAGGGTTGGAGGCTGGAAGCTGAAGAGGGAGATGGGAGATAGAAGTAGAAAAGAAAGAGGACAGGACATAAGAATTATATTTCGTAACCCACAATGGTATGAACTCCCCCCCCCATAAACTCCCCTTCTATGGAGTGATTCTATCCAAACCAAACAAAAAAGGACCTTTGTCCTTGGCCCTGGTATAAGCCCAGACCCCCATCCCTATCCAATCGATCCCATTCCGGCTGTTCCGATAAAGGCAAGACACTCCGAGAAAAAAAAAACAATACCGATTCAATTACTCATTTCTATTTTCTTTCTCGTCCAGGCATATCTGATGTGCTCGGCTTCTGTGATGATATTGTGCAGCCGATCAAGAAACTCGCGGGACAGGGGCCGCCAGCGAGTCTCGTCATGCTGGGGGCAGCCGCGGGCGTCCTGGGTCCAGTCGCGCCAGTTCCAGGCGGCCTGGGTGGCGAGGACCTCGGTCTCGTTTTGAGGTCGGGCGAGGGTGACGTTGCTGGCGTCCAGACCCTCGAGGATGATGGGTTCATGGGTGAGGTTTGCGGCGGCGGTGGTGGCGATGGCGGTGTCGATGGGCGCGCCCAGGTACCAGTGTGTCCAGTTGGCGAAGCCCAGGGACTTGTCTTCCTTGTTCTGCCAGATGCCCATGTTGGTCCAGAAGGGCTCGTCGTCGTCGGCGGTCGAGTGGACCATGTGCGGCGAGCAGATGCGCGGCGTCTTGAACACCTCGGCCTCCGGGGTCGACAGGGCCTCTGAGAAGCGCGCCGCCTGCCACGGCTCGAACGCGTAGGGCACACCAGTCAGCTCCGCCGCCAGCCAGTACGACTCCTTGTCCCCCCAGAACGTGTCCCAGGTGATGGCGTCGCGCACGTCCTGCACGTTCATCCACGCGGCGAACAGCGCCGTCACGTACAGCTCCGGTCGCGACTTGTCAAAGTACACCACCGCAGAGTCCGCCTCCTCGCCGATGTAACCCTTGTAGAACAGCGAGCTGCTGTTGAGCCGCGGCGAGGGCTGTCGCCCGGCCCGCACGAGCTGCTCCGCCACGAACCTCCGGCGGTTCTCGCTTCGGTCCATGGTCACCGCTCGGTCGTGGAAGAACAACGTCCCGGTTTCTCTCAGGCCCTCGTAATCCGTCCACGCCCGCTCTGGGTGTGAAAAGAAGACAGAATCTGCGTCCACGAGGATGGTCTGTGGAAATCGACTGGCTATTAGGGCGAAAGGTTTGGTGGCCCAGCCTTTGAGGCCAATGAGGGAGTTGTCAAAGATTTTCGTCAGGTCGAGGAATTGTATGTCTTTGCTGGTTGCCCGCAAAAAGGTTCGAGTATGGGGTGACAGGTCTGAATCCCCGGCATAGGCGATTTCTATGGGGAGTTCGTTCTTGAGCACTTTTTTCAGGTTGGTGATCAAAAAGAGGGCGTCTTCCACATTGCCGTCGCCGACACAGACGACGATTCCCGTCTTCAGCTCCGGCTTCTCCTTTGACCAGGGCTTCTGCTTTGTCTGGTGTTTCCACGGCACATAGGCCAATTTATCTTCCTTCCACCAGGGGAAAAGGTGAGCCAGGGAATCTTTGAGACGGCTGCGATCGAGAGTCTGCTCTCGCATGTAAAGCCCAGCTAGCTGTGAAAGAGCCGCCACTTGGTTGGCCACCGAGGCGTAATCTGGGAGGGCGACGTCGAGAGGGTACTCGGCCACGTATGTGTGTAAATCGGTGACAAGCTGCTCGGTCTTGTGCTGCTGCACGACAACATAACGGAAATAAAAGAGTGTGATCAACGGCAATAAAAGAATGAAAAGAATGCTCGACGGTCTCTTGCGAACAGTGCTCGTCAGCATCGAAAACATGGTGGCCCGACGTTTGGACACACGTCACTCACGTGCGCACACAGACGGGAACACAAATGACTCGATCTGAGCTTGAGCCGTGTGTATATGTATGTAGAAGGATGTGAACGTGGGGCGCCTCTGGGTGGTCAACCCCCCATTCTCTCCCAGAGGCCGACCAGCAAGGAGTTGACCAGGCGCGCCAGGGAAACGGACGCTGGGTGGAACCTGTGAGTTCCGAAGCGCCAGCGGTCTCCATTCTGATCTGATCGAAGTATCAGGGGGGAAAGAGAAGAAAAAAAGCTCCGTTAGTTTAGCGAATCTAAAAAGTGGGTAACCGCCACGGTTCCCAAAGCAGCTGGAGGCTTCTCAATGATTGTGAGACTCTTACCCAATATGAGATGCCGGGGATTAAGCTGGGACATGAGGACATTATTCAACGCCAATACCCCGTACAAGTTGCTCCGTACCTGACGAGTACTCGTAGCTTTGGGGCCTAAAGCACACGCGTCAAGAAGACAAGACTTCTGCCAATATCGGCCCATCAAACCGTTTTCTGAGCTGTCTCCACAGAGCAAAGAAGACAATCGATTCGTCTGCAGGCACCTCGTACACCCATGTCAACTGTAATGTTTGCTTAGATATCTTGCTTATTTTTGGACTTGTGTCATTCCCCGGTGGCCTTTGGATGCGGTGTTGCGTTCAGTTCTTCCTTTTTGCAGCTGAGGGTCACAGCGCAGCAAAACATGACGGATCTAGCCCTTTGCGGCAGCTTGGACCCATATATGTGGGCCCCATCTCAGGGGACGCTTCTGCAGGTACCGAGTACAGCATGGTCTGGAACTTGGCTGCATCAAGCACCTGGACGAGAGATTCTGTTTGTTTGATTGACTGATCGTCGTCTCGTCCATGTCCTAGCTGAGAGACCTTATCATTCAGCGGTTTTGCAAGATTATTGTCGTTGATCCTGCCATATTGCAGTGTCACTCATAACTCTGTCCCCTGAATAATTTTGATTGTCTCCCAAAGAAGATTGTTCTTGTCCCGCGGGAAAAAAAACCTAAAAAGCCACGTTAGTCAATAGGGCTGCAGACGGGCTTCTCAGGAGTGCAGTGCTTCGTCACCAATCAACGTTCTGGTCCGCGGAAGGTATCTTGGTAGGTAGGCGTCGGCTGATGATGAGACAGAAGCCCAGGTCTGGGCTCTCTTCGGCACGATCGGGCTCTCCTGACCGACCAGCAGAATCGGTGCTTCGAAGGGCTACCAGGGCTGAATGATAGCAGAGCGATAGCTGGCTGGCTCGAATTTCGGGGGCTAGACGCCACTACAGGGGTTAGCGAGGTAGGAAGCCTTGGGCTTGTACACACACGTATAAGTACAAGTTGCCTGGGCCAGGATTGATGTCTCGTCCACTCGGATGTACGTATATGTGCGCCGCAAGTACTCCACACTATGAAACCTGACACCGTTGTAAGCGTAAGTACAAGTACTGGTACAAGTGCAGTCAATACTCTTTACCACCCGCGTAAATCGCGGGACCTCCCACCCAATCATCAGAAAAGAATCGAAATGTCCCTCGAAGCATGTGCGGCCTTACCCTTAGTTGCGGGCTATCGGTGTTTCAGGTTGTCACCGATAGGCTAGGCGTCGATTTTTGCAGCTGAGCTGAGTGCAAGGTGTTTGTTTGTGTCAGTTTTTGTGGCCGCCGTGGCTTGGTACCTAGGTATCTCAGCTGGACCCAAGGCGCTGGAGGCTGCCACTACTCCGTACCCAGACGCGTCGAAACAAACGTGCGTTGATCGGTGTCAAGTTGTCCTCGTAAATACCGAGTTATTCGATGCCACATGTTCTAGAGTTCTCGTATGCACTCGTAGGTCGGGGCAATTAGGCTGAATGAGTTGCACGGACCGTTGATCCAAGCCGCCCTCCTTCATCATACAAGAATGAACTCTTTTCCGCTGGCGCCCCTCCGCAAGAAGGATTTGGCCTCTCCATTGATCGTCATACAGCACATGGAAGATTCCAATAGCACATGAACCCAAATGAAATCATCGGTGTATCTCATATCTTATCCAGACAAGGACCAGGGGGAATGCACATCCAACAGGGTCCGTCCAGTCGGGTCCTGAATCTTTGCGCTCCACCCCGTTGAGGATGATGAGTCTGACTGACTCCTGAACAACCCACAGCCGCTTCCAGCGAGTGGATTGGCAATTTTTAATCATCCCTCGAGGGTCATTTAACCTCGCATGGTTCGCGATTGGATCGACAACATGGGGATGAAACTGTCGGGCGATGTTGCTAGAATGTATTAGCATGTACATATTGGTCGAGACTGTCCGGGGACGTGTCCAAGTGCTCGCAGGAAGTTCGGAGCATTCTGCATGGAGATTTTTCCAATAGTCGACATGTGCTCTGACAACCTTTTCAGATCAGGAGGGGCTTGAGAGGCGTACATCCCCATATCACGAACGCGAACCCGGAGTTGACGCGTCATATTGTTGCGCGATATCATCACCTCACTGCAGTTGTAGATGAGCTGATCGACCCGATCGACCTTCTGACATCTCCTTCTGCTGCTCAGATAATTATCGATAGCAGCTTCGCGATAAGGCCGATCATATGCCTAGGGTAATTGGATGCTCCTGACTCAGGGTGACGGACATCGTCACCACCATCAATGCGTAGAGAAAAGCTAAGCATTGAGGAAGTCGAGGACGAAGAGGTCCATGTCGTCCAGGCTTGGTTCACCGTGGTCTTAGGAGGGAGTGTCAGTCAGATGAACAGAATTATGTTGCTCTCCTCAAAGTGATTGTCAACTCTACCGCCTCCTAGTCGACGTCGTCGCTTCCCTCAGGACCGAACCCATCTAAGAGCAATGTCCGCACGATAGCGGTGAGTCCTAGAGCGATGTCAATGGAAAGCAGGAATGACACAATATCTGTAATGTGCAATTGACCAATATCAAATGCTTGGATGTTAAAGGATTGTCTACCATAGAACACCTCTAGGTCTACTATGGGACAACAACTCCATTGCAAAAACGCTCAGAAAAGCTTCTTCGAATTCCAGAACTCATCTCATGAAAATCTCGTCCAGACCCTTCATATCTGCCATTACCATCTTCTTGGCCTGGATGTTCCGCCCTCTAAGCAAGTGTCGGCCAGTTTTCATTACCGTGACGCTCTGTTTGTTGGGTACCGCCACCAAAGTCGACACAGACAAGTTCCTCTCTTCGGTGTCTGCATTATGTTTCGAAGACTCGTGCTTTCGTCTCCCATTGCTCTGGTTTGGCCTTTGGGGCTTCTCGGTTTCGTCGTTTGACGCAGCAGATGACATGGGTTCATCAGGCGGTTGAGTCAGAGGAGACTTGTGGACTGGAGGGATTTGACCGTCGTCTCTGGCTTTCTTTGCAGCTCTTCTCCGAGCCTTTTCTTCTCTCCGTATCCTCCTCTCCTCTTTCCGCCGTCTTTTCTCTTCTTTCAATTGCTGTCGCTCTTCACGCTCTTCGCTTGTAGCTTTTTCTCGATCTTGCGATAATGACTCAGCCGCAGATTTATTATCCTCCAGCAAAGGAGAGCTCTCTGCGATGTCTTCCACTCGCCGCTTCTCGTCAATAGTCCCGACTAAAACCCCGCCCTTCACAAAAATCATGCCACCCCATCTTCCGCGAGCATACATTTCCAACTTTCTGTCCTCAATCTTCTTCTCCTCTCGTTTGAGCACCTCCTCGCTCTTCCCATTCAGTCGCCCTAACAGGCCCTGAAAAGCATCCAATCCGACCTTCTGGTCCTCGACGGTTTCCTTCCCGCTTTTCCTCTTTGCGCCCAGGCCTAAATTGTCATCTTTGAAGAGCACTCCAACTTGGGCGGCCGCAAGGCGTTCGGCATCGCTAGGAGCACCGAATCGGGAGGTTGTGGTGCGCTTGCCGAGTGCTTGCCCTTGCGACCACCCTTGCTGGGTCATAAGGCGGTGGCCATAGGACGTGGCAGAGGACTGAGAGGACCATGCGAGGTTCCGGGGATCATTGGAGAGTTTTTGCCTCCTGTCGACACGAGTTAGGAGTGACACAGAAATCGAAGGTGGAAACAATCAGCGCAGGTGTGTCGTTATCTGCCACCCCAGACGGATTGCGTCAAGTTTTCTGATTTAGAATGGAAAACACATACTTTCTCGGCTCAGCTAGGCCCATCTTGCACCTCACAGTCTAGGTGTACGCCTCCTCAGACCCGTCTTATCAAGTTGGTAAATGGGAATCCGTCAGTCACTCAATCCATGGATGCGATTTCGAAAAAAATTACAGTTTGCACTAGACTGTCTTGAGGTCCGCCGTAGCAGCTTCCCTTGTCTACGGAGGAGCATAGCGAGGTCTTTGGTTGGGTGCGACCTTGCACGCTGAAAGCAACCTGGAAAGATCATCTTGTCCTGCACTGGTTATACGAAGCAAGACTCAGTCCCATGCCAAAGAGCTCGAATTCCCGAAGGGTTGATACCAAGAACTTCTATATATGGCTGTAGCCTTTGCCCAGGCTGGACCCAGATAACAAGTCTGCATGCGAATTATATTTTTTTTCTCCCACAGTCAATCGCTACCCCTGCTCGCCTCCTTAGCGCCGGGGTTCAATATCAATGTCGCGACAGTGGGGACCGTCTAGTACTGTTCGAGATAAAGGCTAGAGCAACAAAAGGGGCTCCTGCAGCAACTTCGCCGTGGGCCCTGTTACAGCCTGTAACTTCGAGATTGCTAAGACGACGTACCCGATTGTTCTTCATGTGTCTCTATCAGAGCCACTTTACGGCAACCCACGAGCCAACAGATGCCAGTTTACGGTGGCGGCTCCTCCAGGACGAGTAGTTGGCAGGAATCCATCACTTGCCCATCTGACCTGCTCATCCAGCAGCCAGAACCGGCGTCACAAACCTCGAAACTGGAAGAGCCAGGCCTTGCTGTGTCGTGCCATCCGGCTTCTCATGCTTCTGTCAGTCACCACTGCTCCGCGTCGTAGGGTCGAATAATGGCTCTGCCTTTCGCGATGTTTGTGCGAGGCGTAGACAGGACATACTTGGCTATATTGGTGGTCTGCATTATATTTATTGCCTGCCTTGGCGGGCCATTCTCTTCGTATCAGCCGAAAGTCGGCGCGGTAGAAGAGTTGATCTACCGGGGCGCCAGCCTCAACGGGAGTGATCGCCCTTCCGATCTTGAACTCAGCGATGTCGTTGAAGACACCGACACCAGTCCCACACACGGACTCTTCAACTTCTACTCAGAGCCATGGGACGCTCCCGGGGTTACAGCAGAATTGAACGCAGACAGGATGCGCATCATTGAGCCTTACATTAGGGCCATCACAGACCCCAGCGACAGACGGTTCCCGCGACTGCGATGTCCCCTTCCGATGAAACAACGGTATGAGATCTTGCGCCGCCGGAGAAGTTTGGCGACGAGATGGGACACGCCGCCGAGACGGTGGTTTTTCGCCCTCAACCTCCACCAATGCGCCCCCATCTTGCCGCGCTTGCTGGCGTCCGTTGTCGAGACCATCCGCTTCCTTCGACCACAAGACTGCGTCTTGTCGATAGTTGCTCGTCCTTCCTCCGACGGTACGTTGGAGATTCTGGCGCGTATTCGCCAGGAATTGGAGCTGCTCGGGGTCACATACTACTTCAGCACAAGCAACATTGACCCGTTCGAGCCGGGCAAAGACTATATCACCGAATGGGCCGCCTTGCGAAATCTGGCTGTTGACCCGCTGGTGCGGCAGCCCGAACTTTACGACCCCGACACAACGGTCGTCTTTTTGAACGACTTGGCGATTTGCACGGATGACATTCTAGAACTCATCTATCAAAAAGTGAGTCGTCCAGTGGGTGATGCAGGGGTTGTCGTTGGCAGGTACTAACGATTCCGCCCTAGGTCTATCAAAAGGCCGATATGACTTGTGGCATGGACTGGGCCAATTATGGGGAGACCTTCGTCGATGTAGGGGCATCCCGTGGCATGACAGGTGACATGTTTGTCTATGCGCCACAGGATGGTAGCATCGACCCCAACAATACCCTTTTCCGCAACGACCCCAAAACAAAGGCGCGATTTGAAGCTCGGGTGCCATTCCAGGTAAGCAGGAGTCTCTCTCACCAAAGGATCTTATTTTGCCACGCCACAATAGTATGTTCCGAGCTCGCCGTCGATGCTAACAATATGGCCTCCCTCCAGGTCTATTCATGCTGGAACGGCGGCGCAGTCTTCACCGCCAAGCCACTCCTCCAGCACAACGTGACATTTCGAGCCTCACGCGGCGACGAATGCCACATGGGCGAGCCCCTACTGCTCTCCAAAGATTTCTGGAAGTGCGGCTACGGCCGGATCGCGGTGGTGCCGAGCGTCAATATCGGCTACAATGACGACGAGTCGCGCCGGACCAAGAAGCGATATGGCTTCGCCACCGAGATCGTGCAGCGCGTCGAGCAGGATCTGAACGTCGGCGCCATCAGGCACAACAAGATCCGGTGGCAGGCCGCGCCGCCCAAGACTGTCAAGTGCGAGGCGGATATCCCGCACCCGTCCGAGAACGAGGTGGACGAGGCTAAGAAAGCTGCCGAGGCGGGCTCTGATGGTGCAGACAAGAAGGAGCCGCAGCAGAAGAATATTGTCTATGAGGACGGCGGTGGTCCTGACCTTTAAACCTAAAGGTTCTAGGCCCGTCACTCACTAATGCAGTAATGGAAAGCCGGTGGGGAAGTTCGTTGCGGATGCCTCTATTGAATGGAAGCTCAGGCCCTTTTTGGGCGTTATGGTGGACTATGTGAGGGGACTTCATACTGACTGTATATTTATATTCATACATATTGAGTCACAGCCCACGAGACAGACAGAATTCAGAAGTTGATGACATACGACCCGACAGAAACGCAAGCTTCTCTCCTGTCAAGTCAGCAGCTGTCCTATAAAGGCAGCCTTGCTACGGTACCTAGGCATCTGTTTCTATCCGAGTGCACAACGCAAGGGGGTTGAATACGGTCTGGCGGGGACAATGTCTCAGGAATGTCGACATCCCATGGCGGCAATGACGACTTTCGTTGGAAGTGGATGACTCCTAGGCCATTCCCACCTTGCTATGCAATGCTGCTCGTATGTGCTTTCGGCCTCGAAGCCTGAAATTGGTCTACAACAAGGCTAAGGGGCGAGGCGGGGTTGGCTGTTCTCGACTGCTCGAGCTCAAGGTGGTCATTCCACCCAACGTGCCATGCCACGCGCCGTGCACGATACGAAGAAGGGGCTTTTCCAGGAAAGGAACGCGACTGGGGGAGAGAAGTTTACACATTCCAGCGCGTGAGCAGGAACACGCACGAAGAAGGCACCCTCCCGCCCTCCCTTGACAAGCTCGCTCAAAACAAATACTATCCAACAGGGCAAAGGATAGTACAAAAGGCAGACAAGATAGATAGAGAGCTTGGCGATATATCCTGACTGTGCCCCAAGAGAGCGAGCCATGTTCCCACGATTCGAAATTGCAGGCTTCGCCATCACCTTGACGATCGTGTTCCTGATCGGGGCTCGATTCAAGCCTTCGTTTCCGGACCTTGATGCATCGGCGGCAGTTCTCGGATTCGGCGGCGACGATGTTGACGATGGTAACGGACTCGCACGTGGCAGTATTGGTGGAAGCAGTAATAGCCGGTTCGACGACGTGGAGGAACCCAACCCCTTCGAGGACGTGCGGGTGGCGGACGTTTTCAACGACGTGGCGACGGACAGACAGGACGACGAGCTCGGCAACAACATGGACGACGCCATGAACTCGACGCTGGGCTTCGCCAAGGTCTTTGTCATCTCTATGCCCGAGAGGAGTGATAAGCGGGACGCGTTCAGTTTGCAGGCTCGGCTGTCGAATATATCGTTTGAAGTCCGCGACGGGGTCGCAGGGGCAGATGTGTCGGTCAAGGCTCTTCCACATGTAAGTACCTGCCCAAGTTGCTGGGGGAGGGACATCGTCTTTCGATCAGCAAACAACTAACGGGTCGGTGTCTCGATAGAGCTTTACCCAGGACGCCGGTGCCACAGGGTGTTGGCGGGCACACCTTAACGTCATGCAGGAGATGGTGCGGGACAACATCCAATCGGCCATGGTGTTCGAAGACGACGCGGACTGGGACCTGGCCATCAAATACCAGATGATGCAGGCGGCACAAGCAACGCGGTTCGTGACGGCCCAGCCCGAAGAGGAGAAGCCACTGTCGCCGTACGGCGATTACTGGGACATCATCTGGTTCGGGCATTGCGCAGCCGACACGGACAAGACAAACGACAGGAGGTTTGTCGTGATGGACGACCCGACCGTCCTCCCACCGTGGTCCCGCTCGGAATTCGTGCACCCGGACATGTCCATCTGGGAAGAGGACTCGGACGACTACCTGAATTTCCAGACGCGCATCTACTTCCGGTCGAGCTGGAATTCCTGCACGGCCGCGTACGCCATCTCTCTCAGGGGCGCCGAGAAGGTCGTCTTCACCGAGAGCATGGTTCCCTTTAATGATCCTGTGGACAACGGCATGGGGGCCATGTGCAAAGAGCAGACTCTCGACTTTACCTGCATCGCACCCTTCCCCACGGTCGTGGGTGTCTCGAAGCCAGCCGGCGCATCCAACAGGGGGAGCGACATTCGCGGGCTGGACGATGAGTCCATCATTGAGCAGGGCAGGAGTGAAAAGATCATGTACTCGACGAGGCAGAACATCCCCCGCATCCTGACCGGCGAGGACGAGTTTGTCAGCGTCTTCCCGGAGGACCAGGTGCCACCTTTAACGGTCAAGGAGATTGGGCGAGGCAGAGGCCACCGGGAATGGGTCTGGAAAGGATACAGGTACTTTGAGGAAGACGAATACCTCGAAGCGCGAGCCGCCAGTGAAGAGGAAGAAAAAGACGAGGACGACAAAGAGGAGGAACAAGACCACGAGTCGGAGGCTGATGAATGGAGGAGTCCCATCGAGGAGGAAACGGAAGAATCTCAGCGAGTCTCTGAGAAGGAAACAACTTCTAACTCAGAGGAAGAGGACCGAGAAGAGGAAGAAGAAGAGCTTGCAGAATCCAAAGACAAGCACAAAGAGGAGGAGTCGGATGAGGATGAAGCACCGCTCAAGGCCAAAGGCCCGCTACACCGATACAGAGGCTCCAAGGCTAAGCATCAGTGAGCCTTGCGAATCTGTACAGAGAGCGGCCGACATTGCGACATTCAGGTCCGATGTTCGGAATGTCATGGATGATGTTGAAGGACGGACTCGTTGTTTGCATGTTGGCTTTTATCTTTTACCTCGCCGTTTAGGTATGTACCTCTGTACCGAGGTAAAGTCGAACCGCCATGAGACGAGGCTCTCAGCATCTTCTCGGCTTCACCACTCTATTTCTCTCCCTCGTCTCCTGCTGGACAGCACAACAATCTTTGCTGAACGACACAACTACCGATTCTGGATTTTGATTTCTGGACGGGGCGTCAGGGTGGAATCAATGACCAGTGCCTTACCTAAAAAAAGATGAAGCCGTGAGAGAGGGCTGAGGCTTGCCATTTTCTACTAATTACCACCACTACCACACCAACCCACATTTCCAAGCATTCAACAAGCAACCATGGGCTCTGCGGATCAAGATAAGCCCGGCTCGACTCCGGCCGCGACACTGGAGCACTTCCAGTCAATACCATGGTGCCGACCACACCTGGCAGACCCAACGTTCCGGCGCGTCAGCATGTCTCGCACCCTGACACAGCCGGGCCACGGCCACTCATTGATGGCTGAGACGTGGAACACGGACAAGACCATCACGCATCTGCTTTCGATGTACCGGCCACCTGGGCCAGAAGGGGAGAGCGCCAACGGGCAGACAACGGCGATGAGGGGTGAGGTGAAGCGCTTCTACACCTTCGGCATAGGCATGAATGCGCACCCAGCGACACTGCACGGCGGGGTCATCGCCACCGTGCTGGACAGCACCATGGGCAACGTCATCGGACAGCAACTCCGTCATGGCAGCGCGCCGACATTCACCGTGGCGCTGAACATCTCGTACAAAAAACCCGTCGCCACGCCCGGGACCGTCATGGCCAGGGCGTGGATCACCAAAGTCGACGGCGACAGGAAAATCTGGGTCCATGGCGTCGTCGAGGATGGTCGGGGAAATGTCCATGCTGAGGCGGACGGTATGTGGTTGAGGGCCAAGGCGAAGCTGTAGGGGCGGGTAGAGGCACAGACACGGACACAGGGAGAAATCAATTTATGGTCGGGGTGGATTTGTATCCGATTTCGCTCTTCTATACAATACACGGCCATCGCCAAGAGACACAACCGCACACCTTCTCTCCAGCGAGATCCTCCTAACCAACAACAGGCCCGGCCAGTCGAACTGATATATAATGCCCACAGAGTTCCCACACCACCTAGGCATGTATCTCGCTATGCGAGCTTTCAGGGCGGCAGGTGCCCCCACGCTGAGTCCAAGTCCCAGACCATATTGAACCTGGGACCACCATGGCCCTCCAGATCCGCGTCGTCGACATCCCAGGAGGCCAGGTTCTGCATGAAGTATTGAAACTGAGCCTCATCCTCGGCCATCCAGGATTTGCAGAAGGGGTTTTCAATGTTGAACTCCCACGCCGAGGGCTTGATGACCTTCCGCATCTCCTCTCCGTCTTCGAACTTGTTCTCCACGAAGCCGTCGTAGGTGCCGTTGACGATCACCGGCACGGTGGGATACTCCTTGTAATAGGGGTCGTTGATGCTCACCCACTCACCGCAGCACCTCTCAACAGAGGGGCCGTCCATCGCCTTATCCCACGGTTGGTCGCCCGTTGAACACCACGGGTTTGGCATAATGTAGGCCGGGGGTTGCAGACGGCAGTATTTCCGCCAGTGGGCGTTGGCGACAACCGCATGTCGGGGGCAAGTGTGCTCGAATTTCGGCATGCCCGCGTCGTAATACACCCAGTCCTTGGGGCATGGGAGATTGTGGCATCCTACCATGACTGGCTGCAGATTCTTTGGTTTCGGAATCCCGCCCTTTGTGCCTTCCGGGCACTCTATGGGGTCGAGCTCCGCGTCGGGGTTAGGACAGACCCATGGCAGAAGGTCGACGGTGGTATTTTGGAGATGGTCCCCGCCTCCCAGAGCGGTGTCTGTTGTGTCGGAAGGTAATATGCGGCGTGGAAGGGCGGTCACCTGGAGCATGACGGTGAATATCACGGCAGCGGCCAAGGGAATTCGGATAGCCATTGTTGATATTCTGGTGATTGTGACGAGTACTTCGATGCTAATTGATTGGGGAAATCCTTGTGATGCTGAGGGATGCTCGCAAGAATAGAGTAGCGAACAAGATATGGTGGGCGGTCACTTAGAACGAGAACGAGAACGACATATATAAAGACTGGCACAACCTTGAGGTCCTCCATGTCCCCATCTAACTCACCTTCAGCTTCAACCTTAGAAGGCCATCTGACTCACTCTTGTCCGAGAATCTAAGGTTGCTGAATCGAGGACCGCTGGCTGGAAGGCCTTCATTCTTCTCTTCAACTGCGACAAAGCAAATCCCGAAGTCTTGAATGGCGCATACTCCAGAGAAATCGTTGGACTCCCAGGTCCTCAGCGAACTAGATGCTAGAACCAGCATTTCGAAAAATGTAAAAACTCATGGTTAGAAACCAGGTTCCAGTGGTTGATCTGAAAGTGCGTTTCGCGGGGAAAGGCACCGTAGCAAGGTCCGGCGGAGCATTTGGCACAGTCGCGAACTTGTTAATTGCGACGCGCTTTTACGCGTTTCTCATGTAGCAATGGCCATATTATCAAGGCACACTCAATACATGCAACTGAGGCCATTGTGACACGATTTCTCAAAGACTCATTCAAAATGGCTCCTCTCAAGAGTCTGCTTCGACCCTGGCAAAAGGACGACAAATATGACGAGAGACGGAGAGCCCCATCCTCCTACAATCCCCTCTATTCCTTCCGACTATCTCGAGGAGACACCAAGCAATACCACCAGCAATTTGGCGACATGTACTTTCTGCGCCTGGCCAAGCTGAAGCCTGTGGTGGAGAAGATCGCTGAAGGAGACTGGGCCGACTTTGAGATCGCGGGCGAGAAAGCACAGAGAGTGGACAGAGTGCTGGACGTCCGTCAAGGCCAATTGTGCTGGGTGGTCGGGACAATCTACATCGACATGCCTCTGAAACCAAATATTCTCGAGGATATCTCAAAAGAGCACTGGGTCGCAGGCGCGCCCCCACGAAAGTCGTACTTTACGGCGGAAGGAGAAACGCAGGTCATGCTGGAGGATGAATCTGGTCGGCTTCGGCTCGCGGGGGCAACGCTGAAAAGCAACCTGCTGGTCACCGGCGTCATTGTCGCTGTGCTGGGCACCGAAACCGCAAATGGAGACTTTGATGTGCTGGATCTACACATCCCCGACCTACCACGACAGCCGAGGAGGTGGGAACGGGAGGATGAGGACGACACAAAAATGGAGGTCGATCACCAGCGAAAGAAGATCGCTCTTATTAGCGGGCTTGACTTCTCAGAGACCGAGGCTGACACATTGAATATCTCACTTCTCTCTGAGTTCTTGCTCGCAGAAGCCTTGGACGAAGACGATCGGGAAGCGGCCAGCAAGATCTCTCGCCTCATAATCGCGGGCAATTCTATCGCCTCCGATCTACTGCCAGGGCATCAAACGTCGATCGAAGACGGCAAGAAACCTGGCAATCGCAAATACGGCTACGACGCGGCTGTGTACAATCCGACGCCAACGGCACATCTCGACCAGTTCCTCGCCGAACTCCTCCCCAGCATACCAATCACAATAATGGCAGGCGAGCAAGACCCTGCAAATGCAAGCTTACCACAACAACCTATCCATCCAGCCATGCTGCCGCACTCTCGCGCTTACGCTACTGGTAACCTCGCTGATCCAGAAGAAGAGGAGCCAGGATGGCTCGATAGTGTGACGAACCCTTGGGATGGTGACGTGGACGGATGGCGATTCATGGGCAACAGCGGTCAACCTGTGGACGACATCCTCAAATACATCGACTTTGGAGGCCCGGACGGAAAAGGCGCAGACGGGAGATTGGAAGTCATGGCTAGCATGTTGCGTTGGCGATGTGGTGCCCCAACCGCTCCAGATACACTATGGTGCTATCCGTTCCAGGATCGCGATCAATTCGTCATTGAAGAGTGTCCGCATGTCTTCTTTGTGGGGAACCAGCCGAGATTTGACACCACGGTGATCGATGGTCCTGATGGACAGCAAGTCCGACTGATTGCGGTTCCGCGGTTTCACGAGACTGGCGAGCTTGTCTTGGTCGATGCAGAGACGTTGGAAGTTGAGGTGGTTAGGTTTGAGATTCATGACCCGGCTTAGTCGAATACGATGGATGGCGAGGCTGTACCGAGTACGGCCCCGGAAACTTTTCCGCCTCAAAATCGCAAAATTTCCAAGTTACCAAAACAAATGATCTGTACAGCACTGAATGATACTCGCGACCATGACGCCATGATGGATAGATCTAGACCATGCGGATCAACGAACACACCTGTAAGTAGCACCACTTTGTATCGGTAGCCTTTCAAAGTCCTAACCATTCCGTCTCAAACTAGGCGTCTCCACGACGAAAGTGGTCTTGGTACCCTATTCAGCCCACCATGTGCCCAAATACCATGGATGGATGAAAGATCCTGTACGTGTCAATAATGATTTCAGGACTCGACTCGTGGGATCATACCGTCACTTCGCACCGTCGTTGATATCCTTTCTCACTTTTTCTTGCCGTCGAAAAACAGGAAATCCAAGAAGCGACAGCCTCTGAACCCCTGAGGTTGGAAGAAGAATATGCCATGCAACGCAGCTGGCGCGAGGACGCGGATAAGTTGACGTTCATCATCTGTCGACCGCATCGCCATGACGGCGTTGGCTACCGCGAGGAAAAGCCACAGGCGCCAGGAGGAGAAGAGGAAGGGGGAAAACGATTTGATCCTCACCGTGAAATTGACGCAATGATCGGGGACGTAAACCTCTTCATCTCAACCATCGAAGACGAAGACGATTCCTCGCATGGCGAGATCCTCGTGGTGGGAGAACTCGAACTCATGATCGCAGAAACCGCCCAGCAACGCAGGGGCTTTGGCAAAGCCGCACTCGTCGCATTTCTGAAGTACATTGTGCACCACGAGTCCGAGATCCTGGCGGAGTTTCGGCAGCGGGAACGTGTTGCTCCTGCCGCCTCCTCCGCGGTTCCTCAACAGCAGCGCCATTTCAACGACCTACGCGTAAAGATCGGCGGTACGAATTCACGCAGCATGGCGCTTTTTGAGAGCCTGGCTTTCCGCAAGACGAGCGAATCACCAAACTACTTTGGGGAATACGAACTGCGGCTGTCCCGTGTGGGGTTGGGAGACTTGATCGCGCAACACGTCGAGGCTGACGCCGGGGCCGCGCGCAAGGGGTTGCTTGAGGGTTATTTCGAGGGGAGGTATTCGTAGTCGTGTCAATAAATGGCAGGGAAAGAATATGTGCGATGGGATTGATTGACTAATACTACCTACCTCGAGACAAGGAAGAGAGATCTGCTTCATGAAAGAGAGGGAATAAAGCACAAGGAATACCGAATAACGCCTAGAGAATAGAGCATAGAGCACGGGAGCACGGGAGCATCACATAGACGAAATACGTCCCTGTACCCTTTCCTTCCCATGAGAGCCGTGACGGAAAACCAGCGTTACCTGCATATTTGGGCGCAGTATCGGTACCTAGGTAGGTAGCTGCTTGTAGACCGATAATTACCTAGTACCTAAGGTAGATTATGTACAGAGAGACAAGCCCGCAGTATTGGACCTTGTACATATGCCATTTCCTTGTCCTAGTTTCGAGACTTTTTGGTAACCGTTTGACGGCAAACCCTGGATGGATGGGATTCGCACAAGTGGGGTTTTCTAACATGCTCTATATCTGCCACAGACTACCTGGGTATCTAGGTACGGATCTAGGTCATCGATACCTTTCCGGACCATGGCCAACCATTTCAGACTCGCACTGATCCTGATCCTGATCCTTTGAATATCCGACCGACAATCAGACAAACAACGATTGCCCGTACGTCTTTTTCCCCGTCATGAGCTGTGTGCAGTTTCAAGTTCAAGTTGAGTTCATCGGATCCTTTTTTTTTCTTTCGTCACATCTCATCTCATTGCCAATGTCCGGCCCCCCAGCCCAGTCCGACCACAGCATAGTTCTCCTCTTTTTCAGTCTCTAGATACTCCCAAATCCACACACACACCACTCAGGACAGGCCATTTGATTTTCTTTTTTCTTTTTTCTTGTTGGAGTTGCGTGCCCCACAAAGATCGGTCGACAGGAAAACGAAACAAGCGAACATAATTCTTGAACTGCTGGAAATTCCTGGCCGTAGTCCGCCGTCAATGTCCCTCCTCCACTTCCGGGCCCCCCCACCTGGTCGTAACGAGAGGGAGAGACTTTTTAGTTCTTCTTAGGTTTCTTGTTCTTCTTGCTGATTTCGGAAAAGGGCATTGCTGTTGGAGGGGAGAGACAAAAGAGTTAGCATAAGGTTCAATGCCAAAGGATCCAAAAAATGATCTATCTGGGCTGGGGCGGGTTGCGGAGAAGGATCATGTGTGCCACAGGCAGGGCTTCCAGTTTCGAGCCTTTCAATCCCGCCGATTCGAGGGTTTTTTCCTCCCTCGCTCATTTCTGCTGCCTCTTCTCTTTCCGATTGCCTTCCCTTCTATCTCCAATCCACGCCAGTTCCAAACCCCCTCCCCCGGAGTTGCCCAGAAAAAAAAACAAACGCCATCCGACAGAGCTCTCAAAATATGGGGGCCAAAACTTACTAGGTGGCAGACTCTGCTTGATCTTGTCGGCCTTGTCCGAGTCCTTGAGGATCAGGGTGTACAGGTACCGCTTGCACCGGATCTTCATCTTGATGTCCTTGCTCTTGTGGGATTTCTTGAGGCGGGCGCCTGTATACACACCGTAAGAATTCATTAGTATTATGTCTCCATTGCGTAGTCAATGAAATGCTGTTTTGTGAAATGTGTGTTCTTTTTTTGGGGTTTTACGTAGTCCACTGCTGCAAGCAGAGCGACCACCGGAGGAGGATGGAATAGTGCCCCTCTGACAGAGCGCAACGCAGGATGGATGTTCGCAATTGTGAGGCTTTCGGGGAGTTGGTTCAGGGCTTCCGCACGCACCTTTGGCATCCTTTCTACGGGCAATCTCGAGGAACTGCTTGATGTCGGTGACTTCGGAAGGCATTTTGAAGGATCCTCAAACTGTGGTCGGCGAGGTAAAAATTGTGAAAGGTCGTCGTCGTCGTCGAAGAAACTTGAGCGTTTGTCCGTGAGATGGTTCCCAATCGCAGTTTCACGCTGCTGCGGGCAGCGGCGTTCAAAGAATTGAAAATACGATTGTGGGCGGGGGATCCTCGGCGGCTGGACTAGCGCCGGTGTTTGTGCGGAGATAAAGCCCCGTGCATGACGAGGCTGAGGACCACATGCCACTCGCCGTGAGGCCGAAGGGCTTCCAAGATTCTCACATCTTGCAGCAATGTTGTGATGAGGAATATCTGTCCACTCTGCATTTATCTATCAATCTTACCAGCCGTAACAGCTAGCAAAGGTCGATATGACAGAGCGCTCAGACAAATTGTGCGTTCTAAAGTCTGCAATAAAGTCTGCAACTCATTGGGTATCTCTGTCTAGTCTTTGTCTTGCAAGTCGCTCTCATGAGGTATTCTGTGTTGATAGCTGTCTCGGGAAGTGCATACCTAGGAAGCCCTTCCACCACCTCCGACACATCTGCTCTGACAGCGTGCACTATGCTGCTATTTCTTGCTCAAGCCCTTCAACCATTTCGGCAACTTCTTCTTACCCTCGCCGCTCCCTTCACTTGTCTCCTTCGTCTCCACATTGACTTTGATGCCAGGCTCATCATCACCCTCGACACCCACAGTCGGCAAATCCTGCACTTTCACTTCTTGAGCCTGCTCCCTCAGCTCCACCTTCAGAACCGACTTTACGCTTCTCGCTTGAATGCTCGTTTTGTGATCATCCCACTGAAACGTGACTAGAACTCGCCCTTTGAGTTGAAGGTCTTTGATTAGTTTCTTCCCGCTGTCGTCTGGAATGGCTTCATTCTTTCCCCTGATACCGGGATTTCGAAGCATGAAAGTCTCTGATCGGTATTGCTCTTCTAGACACTCTCGTACAAAATTGTATAGATCTGCTGCCGTATCGGCCGCCACGAATCTGGCACTAACCGCGCTCTGGTCGGGAAATCGAACCTTTATCTCGACTTCCTTGACTGCAGCCCATTTGGCGGCTTCTTCTTCGGCTTGGGCTGCAAGCTCGGCTTCTGTCGGTAATCGGACGTTTCTTGAATTCTGCTGTAACAGTTTTTGGTGGACCTGGGCGTGTTCAACTGTTGGCGTATAGTCCGCTTCATTGTGAGACATGAGGGCGGCGGACGGGGTAGATGAGCTTGGTGGCCGGAACACCGAGACCGGACGACTTGTTGATGACGTTGTAGTTTCAGGCTGTGAGGGTAATGATGCAGATGTTTCTTCTTGAGGTTGTGAAGTTCTCTCATCTTTCCATTCTGGCTGTGTCTCGGCTGCAGCCGGTGGCTCTGCCGTGGACGGAGTCTCTCGCTGGCGCGGCGGTTGCACAGCTGGTCCCTCGACCGAATCGAAATAACTCTGTATTTGAGACATGGCCTCTTCTAACGGAGTTTCAGTAGGCCGGAAACTCAACCTCAACAGAGCTGTGCCGCTGTTGAGACCCAGTTGTGCCAGGGATTTTTGTAAGTCTGTAAACGACGCCAGTTCCCTGTTCATCACCTGTATCACCGGCTGTTCGTAATACAGTCTGCCCGCACCGGCACTGCCCTGACTCACGGATGGCACCCCTCTGGCAGTGAAGTTCCGAGTACCAGTGGCACCTCCCCCGGCGACGCCGGCCTCGAACTTCCTGAGCACAAGCCATAAGGTCGTTGAACTGGGAAACTTGTCTGTAAGTCTAGCATTGGGGACACCTCTTGCTTCTGATTCCGGCAGTTGGAGGGCTATTGAGACGACGCCGGCGGATTTGGAGAGTTGGACCAGTTCTAGTTTTGCACCTGATGACAGACCTGAGAGGCGAATCGATCTGGAGAGGTCGACAGGTTTGTTATTGTGTCTGCAGAGAAACCGTCAGTGAACGGTTGTGCATGGCGTAACGGAAGGGACATACTTCAGTCCATATTGCGCAGCGTTGACCCCCAACTTCGTGCAGGCCTCTTCCAAAACTTCACTCAGGTTCTTGCCGGGAGTAGTCTTGACCGTGGCCCTTCGAGCCGTCGAGTCGATCACCACTACGTGAGAAGCCATGGTCGATCGTCAGGCACGGCCTGGTGGGGTTGGGGAGGGGATGTCACTTATGTTCAGTGGGAGGTGGACGGTCTGGACGGCGTCTGTGATGGTAGGGCGTTTGAAATTGAACAGTGTGTCCAGTAGAAGTGTCTAGAAATGTTGTAATGGCCCGGAATGGTCGTAGGCGTGATATTCATGTTCTGGAATGGGTTGGATGCTGCCACGGGCTTTAGTAACGATTCCGCGGCGGCGAAAGACAAGCGCAGGCAAGCAGCGTCGGCGTCACCAGGCGTCACGGCGGAGGAATTAGCTAGGGCGGCCGCCTATTGGCCCCTGGAGCTTTTAGTGGCAGCTTCTCCAGTTTGAGCCTCTTTAGCCTCAGTCGAGCTTCAGCCTTGCGCCTGCGGAAACGCGTTTGCATTTTGTGCCTGCGCATCCCTCCCCGACTTTCGAGATCAATATCCCAAGTCCTGTCAATCAACCGCCATTCAACCTAACACTTTATTGATTGAACCTCCTAATTTCCCTTCTTGTACTTTGATCAATTTTCCGCCTCAAAAAGATGGTAAGCAGTGTGCATCATCGCAATACAACTGCAATTCAATGCTAACCAATCTCTTGCAGAGCTCTCCGTTCGACATCAGTACTCTCCCCCCTCTGCTTCCCCGATCTTACAGCCTCTAACATATCATTCAGATGGCGGCGCGTGCGTTGCAATGGTCGGCAAGGACTGTGTGGCTATAGCTTGCGACTTGCGACTGGGCATGCAGGCGTTGACGGTGTCCAACAACTTCCCCAAGATCTTCAACTATGCCCCCAGCGTCTTCCTCGGATTGACGGGTCTGGCGACCGACGTACAGACAGTCAGCGACACCTTCCGGTATAAGGTCAACATGTATCGACTACGCGAAGAACGAAACATTTCCCCTCAGACACTGGCCAACCTGGTCAGCAGTTCACTGTATGAGAGGCGGTTTGGACCTTGGTTTGTGAGCCCAGTGTTGGCAGGGATAAATCACACGACCGGCAAACCGTTCATCTGCGGGTTCGACAGTATTGGGTGTATTGATTTTGCAAAGGATTTTATCGTGGCGGGCACCGCGAGCGACCAGCTGTTCGGAACGTGTGAAGGACTATGGGAGCCGGATCTGGTGAGATACATCCCGCCCATGCCACGGCACACCCTATAATTCTTCGCTGTTTCCCAGATCTCAAATCTAACCATGCTCGATACAGGCACCCGAGGACCTATTTGAAACGATTTCCCAGGCCCTGCTAAACGCTGTGGATCGGGATGCCCTGTCGGGCTGGGGTGCACACGTCTACATCATCGAGAAGGACAAGGTGACCAAGAGACTCCTCAAGGGGCGGCAAGACTAGAGTAGATTACCGGATTCTCGAGTCTGTGTGGTATGAGAATATGCATACTGGCAGATGGTGGATGGCTGGTCAAGGCATGGCATGTAGAAAACGGCAAGCGGCAAATGGCGTTCCTCTGGCTCTTCCTGTATGGAATACTCTGGGGCGTTGCGATCTCTCTATCTCTCTGTCTCTTCCTGTTTCATTTCTTTCCTCTCTCCCTCATGTTTATGCCACTCATCATTGAATTATCGGACTTACTTCCCGATCCGAATCTTGCCCTTCCCACCCAAAACACCATCGAGGGCATCATTCCAACTGTCCTTGATCGCTCCACAGATGGTCTCCATGGTGACTTCGTCACAGAGACTTTCGAGCAGATTCTCCCACTTCTCACCAACGGGGAGGGGTGCGTCATCACTCCCCTGAGCGCCGCTGTCGCTGCCGCGTCGCGCCATGCCCAGGTCAACCAGCTTCCCCAGCACGCCGGGCTCGTTGATGGCCTCTCTCAGATCCCTGGCGTCCGCAAGGATCTTGGCCTCGAGGTCCGTCACGAGAGACTGTATCTCCGAGATCATCTCCTTAGAAACCGAGCTTGAAGCGGCCTTTGAGGACTTTGCCGGCTTCTGCGCCTTCTTAGACACGAGGGAAGTGAGGTTGGCAATGACCTGCAACGTCTCGAGTTGGGTGAAGCTCCCGTGCAGGTCTGTCCATGTTGGCACGCGGATTCCTCCGACGCTCGATCCAGCGGGACCGTCCCGGCGGCTGGCGAGGGCGGAAGAAAGCCAGGTTTTCAGATCCGAGAGGAGATCTGGAAGAGTCTTTGTAGAAGCCGTGCTGACGCTTCCTTCTTTGAACAGCGTTATTGCCTGGGCGAGAATCTTGTGGCATTCTAGATTGTTTAGTTCAATTTTTGTCATTTCCACTGACAAATCGTCTGTAGCGGGCCAGGATAATATACACTGTTGCGCCGCTTTCAAATTCTCGTACGCCGTGGCTGCCAGGGAAGACTGCGACACCGTTTCCGCCTTGAGGTAGGTGGCTATGGTATCAAACAGCGCCATGGAGTGAATCCATCTTTCTTTCGGGAGAGGTCCGCATCCAAAGCTGGCTAGCAATTGACCATCGTCTTCGCGATAGCTCGGCATATAGCCAAAGTCCCGCTTGTCAACGAGCGGTTTCGAAGGGTCTGTCAGAGGCAAGACCGTGTGGTCATCAGGCTCTCCTCGCCACCGTCGGATTTTCCGTTCTTCAATGGCATAAATTTGCTTGTTCATGCTCCTCTCAATCTCGGACCGCATCTTGACGCTGTTGTAGATGTTTGAGTAGCTGTTGAATCTCAACCCTTCGCGAATCCCTCGCACCAAAGCATTATCCGCATTCTCAAGAACTGTCAATCCCGTTTCAAGGGCCAAAAGAGGTTCGAGATTCTGCTGCATCTCCACGCCAGAGGCCGCTGGGTGCAATGACGATATTCTCGTGAGGATCAAATGTCCCACTGTTTCCCACTGGAGATTCTTGACGCTGAGTCTCACAAAGCTCTCCATCCCCAAAGAGAGCAGTCCGAGATGAGACTGGAGCTGAACAAGCAGGATTGTCAGGATATAATAATCTTCGAATTTTGAGCGGGCGATCTGGAGAAGTATGACAGCAAAGAAGACCGTTGAAGGCGAGCTTTTGCTACGAGCAAGTCGGAGGATTGCTAGAACTGCGAGGAGGGCTGCCTCTGGACACGGGGGGCTTTCGGACAGGGATGACTGATATAAATGCAATGCTCGGAGTGCGAAATCGAGAAGATGGTCTTCCGAAGCGTCAGGTGGAAGTGTGCTGTACGCAAGCTTGAGGTCGAATAGTCGTGCTAGACTCCCTTCGTGGCCAGAGACTATTTGCTGAAACTGGTCGAAATGAGGCTTGTCAAGCCGTCGAAGAGGCCCCTTTAGATCATCGAAGCAAAACCCTTTGGAGCAAAACGCTTCAAAATACTCCTTGCAAGTTTGCAGTAGACCATCCTGCTCGGCTCCATCGTCCTGGCTTTGCTGAAGATTCAGCTTTGCGAGGTAAGCAGCACGGATAATTGGCCTGACGGTACAAACGGATTCAAGAAGCTCTTTGGATTTTGTTTCTAGCCTGTATCAAAATACGGTCAGCTGTAGTCGTCCATGTGCAGTTCATCTGGCTGACTTACCCATCAGCTCCCGACAATTTCGAGCGTGATGTGAGCCACAGGTTCCATATCCGATCATCTGCCTGGTGCTCGGGATGGGACAGCAGATCGTGGCACACGTTGAAAGCCTCGTCCCACTGGCCTGAAGCCTCCAAAGACTCGAGCAGCAGAGACAGGACCAATTGAGGGTCCTTTTTACCAACTCGAGATTCCATGTTCAGCGACTGTCCCTGCAAAAGCTTGACTGTCTCTCCCACGCGGCCCGTGGAGTTGAAGACCTGTGCCAATAACGCAATCTCCTCGGGTTCCGAGATTGCCTTTCCGGAAGCTGATGCTGGCTCCTGCTGGTACTCAGTCTATCAACACTTGGAAAGGAACTGTCCACAGACTCACCTCATTCTTGGGTATTGCCTCGGCGGCCTTGGATATCATGCGATACGCAAGGGTCCCAAACAAGGTGCGGTCCTTGTCCGGGAGGTCTTGTTGCATGTGTATCAGATGGCACATGAGGATGTTCCAAAACTCGTAGTCTCTTTCCTTGGAGAAGGAATTTCGCAGACCCATGGTGGCCTGTCGGATGGCCCCATGTCAGCCATTCCCTTCTTGTTGTGGGTGATCTTGTAGATTTCTGGTTGTTTCATGGTCTTCACACCTTTTGAGCACTCTTCCAATTATTGTCCGCAACCGCTTGATTGAGCCACCTCATGTACAAGTCCTTGTCATCCCTTTTGGCACTAAGTGCTCTCTCCCACAGCTTGGGGCTCTCTTCGTCGTGTATCTCCAGACTTCTGAGTGCATGTTGGAGTTGGTAGATGGCTTCTGGTTCGGTAATAGGTGGGTTACGCTTGCAGAGGTCAAAAACCTCCTCTTGCCCTCGGTCATGTTGAGTTTTGTCGGGTTGATTGACAAGTACAAAAGCTTTCAAGGCCTGTCATGTCGCGGGTTTTTAGATCGAGGACCTTGCAGGGCTGCCAAAAGCGAGGACGGGGAAAGTCCTTACCAGAAACCTGTCCGACCGTTCACCCTTCTTGAACCATTTGTCGCAGAGTTGCAGTGCCTGCTTCCAATTCGCGCTCGCAACGGCGTCTTGAATCGGCCGTATCCTTCGCTCGCTGACACTCGGATCGGACATAATTCGTCGTGAAATGACTATGGGGCCATGCCCTCGAGCAAAGAATTTAGGCAGCGCGTGAAAAGTCCCGATGCGGGGAAATGTTGTGTGGACAAGGCTGAAATGTAATTGTAGCGGAACCAGCTGGATTTATTGAAATTTGAAGAGCTACGGAGCTTCAGGTATTGCTCGCTCTGCGCCGTCTCTGAACCTACTAGGTAGTATATATGCGAGTGGACAGTAGATACATCTCTCAGCCGCTTATACCTATTCTTACAATGCCTTCCGTCGGCCACTGGTCAGCGCTCATACCGGGTTGAGCTAGTCCTTCTTTTTTTGGTCCTGATGTATATATAATACTCCCACGCTATGCTTTTGACAGAGGGTATCGATTCTGTTTTTGTACATTGTACATTCCTCCCATTTCCCTTCCCAAGAGTACCCAAAGACACCAAGGAATGCATGTTCCGGTGCTCAGCCAAACCACGACCCTGACTCAGCTCTCCGTTTCGCAGTCTGATCGTTTTCTAGTCAGCGTGTTTGCATGGATGCGGTGGGATCGGGGTGGTCATTACCCATTCTTTCTTGCAGTCGCGGTAAGCTCTGTACGTGTAACCCTTGTTGTCAGCATAATTCTGTACCACTGTTGTTCGCAAACGACGCAGCTGGGACGAGTCCAATCTGTTTATCGTCTCTTTCTTTCCATACATTGCCCGCCCTCACCCCTGTCGAGAAGGGAACAATACGCACTTGAAGTAATCCTGACACATGTCCCTATCTCCCTTATTCCTGTGCATGCATTTTATGCTCTTGTTCGCAAATTCCTGGCAGGGATCGTAGTACTCGGAGCTTCGTTTCCTGTACACACATACACACTTGTTAGTGTCGTTTTCGCACGTCTTTTGTGTGCAGCATCGCGTACGCTTGAAAGTTCGCTCTTGATTTCTCCCACGCATCAGATTGTTGTGAATCTGAAGAAGAAGCAGCCTGCTGGTCGGATTGCACCGAAGTAGCCATATCGGTGTGCTTGGATTGGACGGAGTGGTGGTTGCTGTTGTTGGGATTAGCCGTGGGTGCAGGTTGCTTGATGCAAAGCGGCGATCAACTGATGCTGCAGCTTGCAAGCCGCAAGCCTGCGATGACCTTTACCTAGTGAGGCACAGGCGACACTAACCCTCTTTCGCTTACCAGGGAAGCTCCTGCCGGGGCTGCGTTATCGATAAGCCGCGCCTACAAACTTTATTTTCTACCCCTCCATTGCTCCATTGCTCCATCCCTCCATCCCTCGTGCCTCCCAACACCCTCCCGGCCCAGCTACTGCCTGCGATATACAAAGTTGCGCTCCCTTATTCCCTCAGCCTCAGCGAGACCCTTCCCAGTTTTTATATCTTTCTGGTGCCAATGTCCCCATACCCCATATTCAATAGTTGAATCTATCTCTGGGTCGTGGATAACAGGGGTGTGAACTCGCCTCGCAGTCCATCTCATGTTGACCATCGCCCATGACCAAATGTGCCTGGGCCCGAGCCAGCGACCCAGTTCCCTGGTCGAACAGTTCCGGGTCTAAAGGGTGACATTTTGACTGAATGCTCTGGACGACTCCTTTACATCCATCCAATTTCATCATCTTCGACGATGCCGTGCAAAGAATCAAGGACATTACATTTTGACGTCGATCCCTTTAACCAAACGATATCAACGTGCAACCAACACCGCTTTACCTCAATTCCTCGTGATGTTCCGGATCCCCCGTAATCTAGAATCCATCACAGATGATCAACATGGATGCTTTCAAGGTCTTGACAAGGGTAGCTCTTCAGAAGTGGACACTTATTGCCGGCCAAACAGATCCTCTTAGGACAGCTCCATGGCCATTCCGGCACGATGCCATTTCTGGTCAACAGATCCATTCACCCTCTTACGGCGGGTATTGTCCACAACTGCCTACCTGGCAATCGAGTAAGCGATGATGCATTTGTTGGACCCTGCCTGCGTGTACCGTTGGCGGCGCGGCATGAATAATGAGAACCATTTTAAGGAGGTTCACGAGGCACACCGACATGACAACAGCGTTGGCCTCACCACACAGTATTTGCGGTTATGGTCCCATAAATCGACACCTATCCGCCATCTTCTTCACCTTGATGGTCCCCGGAAACACGTAGCAGCAAAGGTGATGTAAAACATGTCATAGGCACGAAATTGTTCACACCGTCTCCAGGACCCGTTGGGCGGAGGAACATCCGCAGTCGCCTCGGTGTGGCCGGAGGGACAAATCAACAGCGGTACGTCCGTCCACACATGTGAAAAGTTGACAGGATTCACGACCTCCGCACTGTGATTTTAATCCAAACAGAGCAACAATTTCCATCCATGAATAAAAGAGGTGTTGTCTTGTGGTGATGGCGTCCTGATTTGGTCTCCACAAGCAGGTCTCGCGGACATCCCCCAGCTTTTCGCCCAAACGATGCCTTCAATCGAACCGCCTGGCTGATGCAAGCCATTCGACGGTCTACACAATGTTGAGCAAGTCCAAGCAAGGTCAAGCCTTCCCGATAGGCAGATAGATGATAAGACGGCCAACTTATCAGCCGGCCAACCTTGTGAGCGAATTGTGACGCCGTGCATGGACAGTTGTTGACCTGCGGTTGGATGTCTTCCACGTCGCTTTCCCCTCGATCCAGAAAACCGCGTCTTCTCACCATCAATCCCCCCTATCTGGCCAGTGGAGTATTTCATTGTCATTGTCTCGTACCTGCTTCCAGGTTCTGAATCCAGGACTCCGAGCTAGTCGATCGACTGCCTGCGTGGAAGGATTTTCCTTCGTTTCAACCCTCATCCGGAGTGCCTTTGGCAGAGTAGCATTCTGACGTTTGGAGCGGTCTCCTCGAAAGCTCGCCTGGAAGTCCCCTCCCATAGACCTTACCTAGGAAGGTTGACGTTTGCTGGAGTACTGATTTAAAAGGGGCAGCTTTGATATACGTTTGTTCCCTTCTTTGAACCTTGTACATACACGCGTGTCCCAAGATCATCAATTTGCTTTTCTTGACCGACCCCTTTGTCTTGCTTCTTCACGAAGACGGAAAGGCAATCATCTGTGTTGCTTTGCTTGCCCACTTTAGCACTTGTACAGGTTCTTTTCACCGCACGTTTCCCTTGTTTGTTGTTGGTCCTTTTCTTTCTTCTTTCCCAGAGTATATAATCTCCGTTCGAAATTGGCAATGGCTTCAGCAGACGTCCTTGCTCCCGAATCATCCGCTGCCTTTGGTGCCGGCACTGTCAAGAGGAAAAGGTCAAGCAGCAACATGATGGCACCCAAACCCCCCAAGGGACCTACTTTTGACCCAGACAAGCATCTCAATTACCAGCCCCCTAACAAGATCTGGACCATGAAGGAGATGGGATTCGCCGAGCAGCAAGGGGTCTCGCCGAATGCCGTGTCGGAGCCCTTTCCTCTTTTCACGGCCGACGCCATCCAGCAGATGAGGGCGGAAGTGCTCAGCAAGCCGGTTTGGGACAATTGCAAGTACTCGAGCGAACTGGCCCACTGCCAGCTGCGAGGATTTGCCCCGGAGTGAGTTTTCAAATCCCCCTTGAGCATCCATCCCCCTCACGGGTCGTACTGATGGATGGGGGAAAAAAAAAAGATATGCACCATTCGTATATGACGCCTGGCGAAGCCCCGCGGTCCTCTCGATTGTGTCCAAGATCGCCGGGGTCGAACTGGTCCCGGCCATGGACCTTGAGATTGCGCACATCAACATCTCCAGCAACACCAAGGAACAGATCGAGGCCGTCAAGCAGGCTCTGGAGGAGAAATCTCACCGAGAAGCCGACGAAGGCGTTTCCGGCTGTCCGTACGAAGGAGACGACCAGCCCATCGTCGACTGGCACACCGACAGCTACCCGTTTGTCTGTGTGACGATGCTCAGCGATTGCAGCAACATGATAGGCGGGGAGACGGCGTTGAGGATGGGCACCGGAGAGATCATGAAAGTCCGTGGCCCTGCAATGGTAAGTCAAGTGACACCCCCAAACCGGGACCCTACTACCCCATCATTCGACTGACCATAATGGATTAATGTGCAGGGAAACGCCATCGTCCTCCAAGGCCGGTACATCGAGCACCAAGCCCTGCGCGCCCTAGGCACCACCGAACGCATCAGCATGGTGACATCCTTCCGGCCCAAATCGGCCTTCATCAAGGACGACACAGTCCTGACCACCGTGCGACCCATCTCGGACCTCCGCGAACTCTACTCCCAGTACGCCGAGTACCGGTTCGAGATGCTCGAGGAGCGCGTGCGCGCGCACCTCAAGGAGATCCGCGACGGCAAACGCGCCCGCCGCTTCGACACCAAGACCACAAAGGCCTTTATCCGCGAACAGCGCAACTTTCTGGACTCGATGCTCCGCGAGCTCGTCGACGACGAGAACGTCACCGCGGGAATGCTGGGTGGGGGCGCGAACCATCTGTTCAGCGACGAGTTGATTACAAAGTATCGCAAGAAGCCGAGGCTGTGATTTAATTAGCACCTGTACCGAGTAGATTTTGACAGACTCGGACAACAAGGCGTTGTGTGTGTGTGTCCGGAAGGTTGTTGATGATTCGGAGTTAGACTTTGAGGGGGACGTAATGACCATTTTGAGAGACGGGATGTGAACTTTTCCTCCTTTTTTTCCCCCAAGAACTGTATCGACTGGCGAGTGAGTTGCAGGTGGTGATACAACGTTATTAGCCGTATTGACGAGGGCAGAGCTGGTAAACAGCGTGTGTCTGTCTGTGCTGGCATGACATGGCGAGATTCGCGCCAGATGACTCGGACCGTCCTTGTCAAGAAGCCCACCTGCAACATCTCACAAGACCTTCTTGAAGAACCACAGCTGGTGCCACCCTCTCCTGCAAGAGGCTACCTAGGTAGAAAAGGTCTTGTCTTGTCGGACACCTGACAGAACCCAAGAATTGGTGCTTTGATACATACAATATATGTCCAGACACGTGTGAAAGTACCAACAATCATACCATAGGTATGTAGATACAGGAAACACGCCATCCTTCTTCCCAGTCCTCGTCCATACCTAGATATTCAATATCATCCACCCTCATTACTCGCCCCATTCGCATTCCTCATCTTCGCTTTCTCCAAAGCCTTCTTGATCCGTTCCTGATGCGCCGGATCATCCCCGATCCGATCCACCATCTCGCGGATCAGGGAAATACCCTCCTGCGGTCCTTTGGTAACACTGCTCGTCCTCACATTCATCTCTTCAAACAACTTGGCGTCCTCTTTGGCCTTTTCATTCTCCAGGTTCGTGTACGTCGGTTTGTCCGCATTGGCCACCCGCGCCTCCGCGACGGACACATTATAGTCGGCGTCGTTGAGCAAGACGTCCGCCTCGTTCGAGAGAGCGAGGAGACGGCGAGAATCTGCCATGACCGTGTCCAGTGCGTTTTGAGCCAGGGACAGTGTATCCCGTGCACCGTCCGGTTCGTACAGTCTCTCCTTCTCGTTCTGGACCGCTCCCGCGTCGATTGCCCTCTTGATATCTTGAAGCCTGCTCAACACCTCATCCGTGAAGACCTGGTTATCGCCCAGCCCGCGTACGGTGGCGCGGTCGAACGAATCCATCAACTTGTTCGCTCTGTTGTCTCGGCCCCGTGCTTCGTGCAGAACGGCCATCTTCTCCGCTACTGCAAATTCTTTCTCCAGTTTCTTCACGCCTTGCACGTCGCCGTTGGTGTATAGCACAGTGAGTTCGAGATGTTTGCGACGCCTCTCACGCTCCACGTGCGCTTCGGCAACTTTGGTATGGCGGATCTCGATCTTGTTAAACAAGGTAAGGACGTACGACATGACTTCGGTCATCCTCACTGCAGTCCCCCTATCATTGGCTTTGAAGCAGCGAGACACCGCCAAACTGTCGATATCGAGCAAGTCAACCGCCATGGTATACGCCGTCATCAGCTCCGCAATTTCTTTCTGCAATCGCTCCGTCACAGCTACGAAGACTTGGCTCGTAAAGCTTTCCAGCTCTGCTTGGTCCTCGTCAAACCTCTTCTCCGCCTCCTTGAGTTTGAATTCCGCCTCTAACTCTCCAATATCTGCATATCCAATCTCATTGTCGTTGAAGAGGGCGTCAATGTGCCCTTCAGATTCTTCTTGGCGGGCCTGTCGTTCAGCTTCTTGTTCTTTACGGACGAGACGGTTGGTGCGATCCCATTCCACTACTGTGTCGTGGATGAAGGTGAAAGCGTCGGGAATGGAGTCGATTTTAGACTTGATGAGTTTGAGTTTTGGATGCTCAGGATTAGCCTCTATAGGGGAGAATATGTCCGGTGCGGGCGGTAACAGGGAGCGCAGCGCAGTAACTGCTGCTTTGAGAGGGTCCGCCGGCACCTGTTGTGGCTTGGTCGACGCTGTGGCGGGAGTCCCAACACGCATGACCAGGGGAGGCTCAGGCCGAGGAGAGGTTGTAGGCTCGCTGCCAGGCCTGATTCCTGGAGGCGGTAGTCCTGGGCCTGGTCCTGGAGTTTTCTGTCTCACAGCCATGCTCTGCTTTCTGATCAAGCCAATGAACGCCTCTTCGTGTTCTTTTTTGCCGGTGGTGGAGGACGGTCTAACAGGCGCCAGTAGTGTCGTGTCTTGAGCCATCAAGCGACCTGAGTCAGCCACCGAATTTCGCAACGAGGAATACGCCTGATCTGCTGGTTTTAGGGTCTTGCTCTTCTCTTCCTGGACACCGGCATTGTACCGAAATGGCGTGTATGCAGGACGAGCAGGCTCAAACTTGATAGGTACGACCGGCTTGCTGCCGTTACCTGGAGGAGGTCGTCCTGGTGAATCTTGGGCGCGTGGAGCTTCGGGTATGACGACTATTGGGGCGTTCACGCTTGGTGAAGGTGGTCCGGGGGTTGCATAGTCTTCGATGACCATTGGAGCATCATTGCTCGGCGATAACATATCTTCTGATCGTTGGGGAAGCTGCTGTGGGATCACCGTACTAATAGAGGAAGGTTTCGTCGATGAAGCCTCAACGGGTTTGGCAGCGATTGGACGACCACCAGGACTGTATGTTTCTCCTTCCTCGTCTGTGGGTTTCGTCGCAACCGGTCGACCACCGGGGCTGTATTCTTGCTCCTCACCACCACCCGCAACTTTTGTCATTAACGGCCGCCCACCAGGGCTATAAGCATCGTCATGACCTGCCACTGGAATGATCACATGAGGACCATCCTTCGACTTCGGGCGGGTTTCGACGACTGGTTTGACTGACGGCTCTGGAGCAGGAGAGACAGCCTCTGCAGACTTGGGAATGCCGAGCGGTTGTTCTCTTTGCACAGTATTTGCTTGGGCGGGTTCTGGTATCGTATTGATGGACGGTTGTGATTGTGATTGTTGGGCTAGCGACGGTGCTGTCACCTGGTCGGACGGTATACCGACTGACTCATCAACGCGATCAAGACCTTTACTTGTCCCGCTCGAGGGAAAGGTGGAGTTGGGCAAGATAGCCTGGATATCTGCCAGGCTGGCCGCCTTCTTGACCTCCTTGCCCGCTTCCTTCTTGAGTTCAACCCCGTAAAGCAGACTCCTCAGTCTCAGCTCCTTGTTGACAAAGCTCTGGAAGATCTCGAATTTGTCGTCATCCGTCTCGGCTTCTGCCTCCTTTCGCAGCATCGCCGCATACCTCTTCAGTGATGCTTTGAACTCCGGTTCTAGATCAGCGTAGGGATCAATCACTTTCACGCTGACTGGAGATATACCTGGCTCCGGAGATGTAACCCGCGGAGCAGACGCACGGGATTCGGGTCTCGGTGTCGAGTCTTGAGCCGACCGTACATTCAAGGGAGCATTCCAAGCTTGAATGACGCTGTCGATCCCTGTCCCATTGAGGCTGTCAGAACGTGCGGAAACTTCGCCGCTATGTTGGCCAGCAGACGAAGGTCTCTCATCCGCAGGTTGCGATGGCGGGGATGGAACGCTGTCAACTCTGGGAGGCAGTTGAGCCCGCGAGTCTTTTCGAGGTGACACTGGACTGTTGAGGCCAATCTCAACGGCATGGGTCGGGAGAACAGGTTCTGGTTTCGGAGTTTGATAAGTAGCAGGCAGGGTTGCGTGTGTCCGCGGAGGGGAAATGGGATCTTGGTATAGAGGATTTGGTGGAGGGCTGGTCGGTGTTTGCTCTGGGGGAGGTGCATTGGGATCGTAATGTTCCCAGTCTGAGGGTCCGCCGAAACCTAATGCTTGAGAAAATGCAGGTTTGAAATCTGGAGTCTGGATCGCAGCAGGAGGATTGTAGTGACTGGGAGCCTGACTTGTACTGGAATGCGCCTGATGACCACTACTCCAATAACCACTCGTGGAATCTATCGGCGAGACCAATGGACCGTCCAGTACCCCTGACGTCTGTTGCATAGGAGGTGGTGTCGGATGATACGGTGGTGCCGTCGGCTGTCCATGTTGAGCGCTCCATGCGTTCTGTTGCAGCGCAGGAGGATCGTAGTGATGCGTGGGAGGCTGATACGAGTATTCTTGATGGGGAGTTCCGGTTCGATTGTGATGGGCGGCCTGTATCTGGGCCTGATACTCGGCCGGTCGGGGAGGTGGAGGAGGTGGTACCGTCGTGCTCGTGTGATAGGGGTCGTTCCACGATGTCCCATACTGTTGTTGTGACGGTGCCGATGGTGGCTGCTGCGAGTAGCTCGTCTGATGAGGCTGCGGGCTTATCCTGCCCGTGGCGGAGGAAGGACGCGGCGGCAACGCAGGTTTGGGTTCCTGGTGTTGATTTTGAGCTTGAGCGCCCAGTCCCTGGTTATATCTGACTCCCCACTGATGTGCGTCAAACTGCGGCGGCGGAGGGTATTGAGACGGCGGAGGAGGTGGGAGAGGAGGCCCGAACGCATTCGACGAGAGTCCCGCGGCATGATAAGGAGACGCTGGAGACTGTGGCTGCTGCGGTTGCTGCTGCTGTCCGTGAAGTCTGGGGTCTCCCCATCCTTGTCGTCGAGGGGGAACTTGCCATGGCGGTTGTGGCGGGCCTGGTGTTTGCTGCGGAAACCCGTATGGCTGTTGATTGTATGGGTTCATTGCCTCGACTCAGGAGTGCAAGCATGTACCACGGGCCATCAAGATATTCACGGCCGTAGCTTGTGCCACTGCTTTTCGGGATCTGGATGAAGAATGTGACAATGATTGAGCTCGTCGAAAGACTACACTGGCCTAGCCAGGTATGTCTGTTCGCAGCCTGGCGCAGTTTGTAGTTTCTTGGGGGCGCAGGCGGGCGAGGCTGGAAGGCTGAAGCCCAGCCTTGTGCAAGACAGTCTCAAATGCACAGCCCCGTCGAGACATCGAGGAGAAGACGAATACGAAACACTCTTAAACCCAGCTTACGAAGCTGGTGGGAAGCTGCATTTGTTCCTCTACGATAGACTGATATTTTCTGGTCTTTACTTTCGTGCTCAATCATCCACTCAGGTCGAGAACGACTCTCCCTTGTAGCTCGCCCCTGTCCATCCTCTCAAAAGTCTCGGTCAGTTTGCTCATCGGCTGAACCTCGAAATGTGTTTTGACAACACCTCTGTTCTCGGTGTCAGCAAAACATGACTTGCATAGGTAGAGATCGAACAAGGACATAAGACTCACCTCGACGCCAACTCCAGCGTCTCCATCGCCTCCTTCCTGTTGCCCACCGCGCTGCCCACAATCTTCAGTTCGCTGGCCAAGATCGTTGCTGGGTTCGCTGTAGCAATGGGCACTGCAGCGCCCTCGGGCACACCCACGCACACCAACGTGCCTCTGAACCTGAGGAAGCTCAGCCCTTGGGCATAAGCGACGTTGCTGGCTGTGCAGACCACCACGCCCGCAGCACCACCCCCTGTAGCAGTCTTGACATCTTCGACCAATTTCTTGGTGCCTTCGTCGTCCCGACTGTATTTGGACAAGTCTAGGAACACTTCGGCGCCGCAATCCTTGATCAGCTTCTCTTTCCCGCCCATATCAATGCCGATCATTCGGAATCCCATTGCTCGAGCCCCGATTTGCAGGGCCAGGTGACCAAGCCCACCCCCGCCACCCGGGATGACCACCCAGTCTCCAGGACGAACCCCTTGGTCTATCAACTTCTTCAGAGCTGTGTATACAGTGACCCCGCCGCACAGCATGGGTGCTGCCATATCGCTCGGGAGTCCGTCTGGGATGGGAGTGACATAATGGGCTGGGGCAATGGCATATTGTTGGAATGTGCCGGGGAAATAGTACCTAGTCCAGGAGGTCAGTATTGCGGCGTCCCCTGTGGTGTGGAATGCACAAACATACCCGGAGACCTTCGCAGAGGTACAGGAGGCGTCTGCGCCAACGAGACAAGGAACGCAGTTCCCGCAAGCAGAGGCAATCCACTTGATACCCACACGATCGCCAGTCTTCAAGCCCGAAGTTTCGCTGCCGGGTCCCAAGGCAGCAACGGTGCCGACACCTTCATGACCACCCACCTGGCCTTTCTGTGTGGGAGCAGGGAGCCATGACCAGGCATTGCACATAACACCCATGTCCTGTAGGGAAAAAGGAAGGCGTCAGGGTCAACATGATTCTCTCTTTCGTCTGTCGAGTCACCAACAACGAGGGCTTACCGAGTGACAGACTATGGTGCCAGGGTCAGTGCTGCTGCTCTCCACAGTGTGTCAATTAGGACGAGAGGCTTACCTCCTGAATGTGTCAGGTTTACCAGAATCTCACCAGCACCAGGTTTGGGGGTCTCAATCTCCTCGATCTTGGTGGAAATGCTGCCCGGGTTGTCATACACCAAGGCCTTGTGCCTGGATGGTACCTGAACACTCGCCATTCTGGAGAAGTTGCACAAAGAGTATCAGTTTGCTAGGGAAGATTGACAGAAGATTCAAAGACAAAGCCAGTCGATGGACGCGCGCAGGAAGAAAAGAGAGCAAGGATTTTGGCCGCGGTCATGGCCCAAGATCTTTAAAGGATTTGAGCGAACGCGTCGTCTGAAGAGGGGTAACAGCGTGCATTATTCGCAGTGCCTGGACCATCTCCCGTCTCTGGAGCTATGCTGGAGCTATGCATCTGTGGAACAGTTGCGGGGCTTATCGAAGCAGATCCTCCGGGACCATCACGCGCATGTCCTTGCTCCTCGTTCGGACTTTGATCGACTTGCTGGTTTATCTTCGACTTGGTCGAGTCAGCGGGCCTCGTATCCCCTACAGCACAGCTTGCCACATCGCCCTGGACTCGGTGTCTCGACGTCGGAACAATCCGACGGAAGCTGTCTGGAGGCTTCACAGTTCCTAGCTCCAGGCCCCTACCGAGGGATAGGAACCTCGGAGTTGTGTGGGGGGATGGTTCCCCTGTCACTCCTGTATACCCCTGGTATGGGATAACCATGTGGGAGGCCAGTGGGAGCCAGTGGGTGGTCAGTGGGTTGCCAGTGGGTGCCAGTGGGTGGTCAGGATACCCCGCGATTAATGACGAGTACAAAAGCACGACTCAGTCCGGGGCGAAGATTCGCCGAACCAGTGGCAGTACATAGGTACCTAGGTAGGTACTAGTAGTGGGTGCCCAGTGGCAAAAATGCAAAGAGACGTCGTGTCAGTTAATTGTCCTCTGTTGGTGCCGTATCTAGACTAATACCAAGTTCTTTCCATCAGATATCGAATCGGCCGCTAGATAACTAGACACAATCGACTTTCGCAGCTCTATCAAAGATAGCAAACTGAATCCAGCACTACCATACCAACAGCATTACCCGCACCAGTGCCAATAAGCAAGACAACCGAACGCTAAATGGAAAATTCACATGCATGCTCATACCCATTCGCCGTTAGCAATGTGGCAATACACGACAAGCATGGGGTTTGACAATCTCATTCCTTCCACCGGAATACACATCAAGCAAATCCTTCCGTGCGAGCCGAGGTGAGCGAGCATAACAGACACCCTAGCTCCCTATCCTGTAAGAAGGGACTGTAACCTGGTCTGGTAATCGTGTGGAGCAACCTTCTCGTGCAGAATCGCGTTAATTGTCGACAATTGGTCCCTTGCCTCGCGGGTCATCAACGTCCTCGGCCACTTCTCCCCAATAATATCAAGGGCATCGAGCATGAAATCGGTCGAGACATCCTGTATTAGGCTGCGGTAAAGAGTCCGAACCACTTCAGCACCCTCAGCGGCCCCTTCCATCGACAGCCGTCCGCTCCGTCGAGCAGGCTCAACCTCATCGTCCCGTTCGCAGACCTTTCCCAAAGCCTCGAGCAAAACCATCGTGATGTTATATCGATCCGCCTCGGCAGTGGCAACACGTACAAGTGCATGGAGTTGGCTGCATATCTCCGCGATCTCTGTCCGTAGATCTGCCGCTGTCATACGGCGTGCATTGAGCACTCTGTCATCATACCGCTCGAACTGCTCGTTGAATCGTCTCCGCAACTTTTGTCCAAACTGGAGAGCTCGGTCCCGGGGAGCAATTCTACGCAGCAGCGTCCATGCAGTTTCGTCGTGGGACCCCCATTGCATCAGAGTAGCGTGTAAGTCGTCTCGTATGGTCCATTCAGTGGGTGCTCTTCTGGCTTGCTCTTCGGTTATTCTCTCATAGACGTCGGGCTTGAATTCTGCCGGCAGGATGTAGGCGTCAAACGATGAAATGATATCCCTGACGATCATCTTCCTTTCCGCCAAGGGCGTGTCGTTGAACCGCATCTCCTCCAGCAGCGGTGAGTCGGGATTGTCTTCGGCAAAAGCAAGGTGTGAAAATTGTTCAGTAGGAATAGACATTTTTGTGAGCCAAAGCTGGAGACCGAAAGTCGGCGTCCTTATGAGCAAGCCTGGCCCATATATGATGATGTTCGCATTGGGCGATGCAGGGCAAATGGATGGACCGGCAGGTCACACAAGGGTTCAGAGGTCATTAGTAACTGCTGAACTATTGCCTTGATGATAAGAGCCAAAGCACTGCCATTCATAGACGAACACAAATGACGTTGGGATACTGTACGTCTAGACGCAGCATCTTGATGCTCCGCCATGGAGAAAGGCAAACCTTTTGGTCTGTCCAACCCACCAGCAAGTCCACTTACCACACTCCGGGCCACCGACAAACCTTCAAAGCTGCTCTAGTGTACTTATTGTCCACCATCGACCGAGGGTACACGATTGGGAATGCAAAGGTACCCAATAGCGGAGGCAAGGGACATGGACCCAGGAGGGCGATGGAGTCACGTGACGACCGTGCCCGGCGCTTCAGTGCGACACCCATTGGACAGAGACCGGTGTGCCGCAAGGCCGCTGAGAGGATTAGCGAGGTGGCTTATGCCCGGAAGTGGTCGTTGACAAGTCCAGGTGCATGGAGTTAATGGGTCAAGTTTGCGGTTGCAGCTGATATTGCCTGGCCATCTCTTGGTTGCCGATGCCTGGAGGCAGAGCCCGCGCAGAACGCCTCAGCGACCGCTTCCTGAACCACCCTTCCAAAACGCCAGGATTTTGCTGATAACAAGGCAGACTCGGTCGATGGGAGAAGTGGATATAGTCCAGTAGAGGGTCCAAGGTTCCTGGACCAAAGCGGAAGAGGTGATGGGTTTCGATCCTTGTTCCATAAGGACGTTGATAGAGCGTGATCAGGGTGATAGCAGTGACCTCCAAATACTTTTCCGGAGATTTTGCGCTCTGGAACATGGGTAGACATCGTTAGTTCCATCTTCCCCAGCATCATAGAGGGTGCACCTGATAGACATAAACGAACATGTTCGCTCTATTAGGGTTGCAGTTGCTCCATCTGGCGTGAGTGGGCATCTAGTTCCCATTCATCCGCTTGGTTCTCAAAGCACATTGGCCTGGGGGTGTGGAATTTGGATCCTCAGCCATAGAGCTAGGCAAAAAGCCCACTTATGCATGTTATTACCACAAACTCTGTATCGCATCCACATCGGAGGGATGTCAAGTGGCCTTTTGTGAAGCGATGGTCACGCGCCGTGCTGCCGCAGTCCCTTTCAGTTGACGTGCTGTGTAGCCGTTGGGGTCTTCCGCGGCCGCATAGTTCAGTGGTTGAGGAAGCGAGCGCTGTGATTTGTAGAGAGATCAATAGCCCTGAGTCCGTGCTTCCGCGGCCGCCATTGCAAATATACGCACGATTCGGAAAGGAGCCACAGCTCTAAAGAGACACCAAGTAGGTCTTTGTGGTTCCGGCGTCGAATGCCCTGCAAGCTCTGTGGCGGAAACCCTTACCGGATGGTACCTCTCTCCTAGACCACTGCAAACCATTCTGACCTTCTCGGCATCATGCGGAATCTTTAGGCGGGATTTCCGAATAGAGCACAAATCATAATCCTGATATCAATCAATCTTGGTCGACGCTTATGATCAACGTCAGGAGAAAGATGCTGATAAGAACCTGGGCCACGTTAGTAGGGCAGGAACGCACCTAAGTATCGATAGTAGTACCTACAAGAGTGGTCAGCATCCCGATACACGTCATCTCCCACCCGCCGGATAGAGCATAACCACGAGCCATGGCCTTTTGATAGCGGATAAATCGGAAGGCTCCAAGACCAGATATAAGAATGGCCGAGCCATGACAAACGCAAGATAGTGGCACACCGACCACGAAGAAGCCCAAGTGCGGATTCGGATGGAGGCTGTGGTTTAATCGGAAGACCTGGGCAATAACCACACCCACCATGGCAAATGCCTGAGCTGTTCGCAGATACCCAAGGAAGGTCCTTTCGTTTGCTGTTACGAGTGGGTTAGTTGTGAAAGTCGGAGAAGTGATGGAAGACGGAGTGATCTCGGCGGTCGCATCAAGCACATATCCTTACCCAAGTGGTCACGGCAGGTAACGTGAGGGACGCTCATAGAGATGTGTCTCTTCCACCATCGGTACGCCTTTGAGGTGGACTGGCTTGTGGTTGTTGCTCTCAGCTGCAGGCCTAGCTCCAAGGCCTCTTGATCAGAGGGGTTTGCGAGCACCTCGCTGGCGGTGGGAAGTTCACTATGCTGTTGATCACTGTCTGCCTCTTTCGACTCCCTCGCCATTTTTGTGACTGGACTTCACGGATTTTTACGATGCCCCCAATTCCAGCGGTCTGATCAGGATGAAAATATGCAAGGATCGAGTGGACTGGCACGCATGGATGCGGGAAAGGCAAGAAGAGGTGGACAATGGAGGGGATATTGGGCCATCATGCACGATTCGAAGTTGCAAGCAGGAGATGTTGTCATTGACGCCGACAAACGAATACACGACTTGAGATAGACATTGGTCTGATAAGTGTCGATCAGGTCGGGATGGGAGTCTGTTGGTCCAGGCTCCGTTCCCAGATTTGCGGCATCCCAGAACAAGAAATCATGAGAAAGCGGGAAGAAGCTAGCAAGAAGACAGTTGCCGCAGAGGAAGAATGGCACCAATCGTAGTCGGATGGGAAGGTTACCAGGAAGTGAGTTGCCGAACTCCATCTCAGTTGGTGGGCAATGGTGGCAGGTGCCTGTGGACTCGCATGTGCGATGACGATGTTAATTAGTGCCCAGGTGGCTTCTGCCCAATGCCCAGTGGCACCCAGTGGCACCCAGTGGGTGTCGCAGGTGCCCAGCCACTGCCATTCTGCTCCTTGTGGAGTTGGAGTGATAAAGGACGCCCGCCTAATGGCCTTCACCACCAGACACCCTCATTGACCTTCTACTCGACTACTCACCCCAGCCTCCTCTTTCTCATCCCAACTACTCGGTATCCTCTCTTATTTCTCCAAAGCTCCTCTTTTGCATTCTGTGTATATTCTATCCGGAGCTGGAAATATCTTCCCACGGATCCTGCTTTTGCGCGAATCGCATCCTTTGGAGGACTTGTGACCCCGCACCCATTGGACATCCGAGTGACCAAGGCACGATCAAAGGAACAACGTCCTCACCGTCGCACAGTCGACCACCATCTACGACGTCAGGTTTTGATCTAATACCTAGGCACACCACTGCAAGACAAGATGCTCGGCGGGCTACTGTTCTGTTTCTGGAGATTCGTGGAGATTGTCACATTAATTCCTGTCATTGGCATGCTGGTACGACCATATCTTTCCTCCCGGGTATCTAGAATCCAAACTGACAAAAGAACCCCAGGCATGGTTTGTCAATGGCTTCAATGACAACAACCAACTCACTCCCTCCTTCATCCTGACCTTGTTCATTGTCTCCATCCTCGCCTGCGCTTGGGCCCTGGTGACCCTCCTCCGTCTCGGCTCGACCCGCCGATCTGCCATCTTCGTCGCATTCGTCGATCTCCTCTTCGTGGGCGCCTTCATTGCCGCCGATGTCGAACTCCGAGGCATCGACGATGCCAATTGCTCCAACTTCACCTTCGGATCCATCTTCATCAATCTCGGTCCCTTTGGCTATTACGGTCTAAACAGCGGCTCGCATTGGGCGCTACATCTCAACAAGAACTGTGCATTGCTGAAGGCTTCCTGGGCCTTGGGGATAATGAACACCATCCTCTTCTTCTTCACCTTCATTCTGGCTCTCTTCCTCCACCGGCATGAGAGGGTGGTTGTTACCAAGGAGGTCAGGAGGTCGCGACACAGCAGCCGACGAGGTCACTCTCGTTCTGGATCGAGGAGGAGCAGCAGCCGCCACCGATACGTCGTTTAAGTGGAATGAATAGATTCCACCCCCTGTGCAGTGGATAGCGATGGGTGCGACTACAAGAGGTGGACCGACTCCAAAGCTAAATCTCACGAATTTCCTTTATTTGTTGCAAAATATAGGCCGCAAAGCATTCGGCCGCTTGGGTGACTTGAACTTTATTGTATGAGCGACACAGCGGGCTGATTTTGCAGGTGGATTACTTGGACGCTCAGGCGACGCTGTTCATGAGGACACTGATGACGATATTGGGGGAGGCGTATGTGGGACAGGAAAGTGTACAGCATTTCTCTCTCGCGAGTCGAAATAGTTCCACATCAAAATGAAAACATAAGAAATGAAGATTCTGCCATGTTGGAAGCTTCCACTCGATGCCCGTCCGTCCAGCCATTGACTCTGTGCTCCAGAGCAGAGGCTGCGGTATGCAGAGACACAGGTGACGACTTGAATATCTTGGTAGCATCCATGATGGGCACGACGTTAGCCTCAACGAAGCTGACAGTAAGAACAGAACGACCTTCCCCCCAAGGTGGCCGAGGGAAAGCCTAGCTCTTCTTATCCTCATCCTTTGGAGGCCAAGCCCAAGGAACTGCCCCGGTCACGACGTGATGAAGGCGAAGTTATCCTCGCTTGCAACCTATATCACCCGAGTTGGAGGCCCGGAGAAATACAGCAATACCTGGTAATGGCACGAGACGACCAGCTGGAGAAAATGCGCCTGGAGAGTGGAGACCTGCAAGGTGGAGAGTTGGGAATCTGGGGTCGGTCGCGGAGGTTCGGACACTGCAGCGGTCGTCGATCGTCAATCATGACCAATGATCTTGGTTACATCCACAGCAGAGAGCCTCGCACGGGAGCCTTTGCAAAGGTCGACAGTTGGCCCGAAAGTCCTTGGCTCACAGTGCGGTCGGATGACAGCCAATGGGGCCCAGGAGCTTCAAGCCACTTTTTCTCAATCTTCAACCCAGGACATAAGAGCGGCAGATCATAGACCTGCGTGCTTTCTGGCTGTATCAACTGGGCATGAGATGAAGAGGTCGAGGAAAGGACCGTTTAGCCTCATTGTTCGAGCCAAGCAGGGTAAAATGCGAGCCAAGGAGTGCTTGCTCGGGCTCCGTGCTGGAAGCGGATAGTGTCGGCGGAGGAGGATCTCGAAATGCCGCGTACTGATGATCCTGATGGCTTGAAACCCATACGCGCCGTGTATTTTGTCATTATATTTCGCGGAGACTCGGTAGAAGAAGGGAACAGGTGGGAGGAATATCGAGCTGAGTCAATATGAAAGGAAAGGAGTGACTTGGAGGTGGAAGTCGAAATGATGAATTCGGGAAAGCTCAGCCTCATATCCATATTTGGACTAGCCCAGCCTGTCCAGCCTTGTCTTGGGCGCGATTCCGAGGCGTGCCTCATCCAGGTACTGTCCCTGACCAAGCAGAGTAGACCGGTGCCATCATTCTGAGCGCAGGGCACAGAAGAGAATCTCCCCTCTCAGGCACCATCTTCTTCATCGCGGTAAGGTCATTCACTTCCCGAATCCGAGGTCAATGCGGCATCTGGGCTCTGCTGGCGACGACACAGCATGGGCTGGCTGCAATGAGCTTGCTGCTTTGAACCCGGGGCTGGCCATGTCTTTACCAAATCCACCTAACGACGTCGGAAATCCCAAGCAACTTCTGCTCAGTATTTTCAAACAAGGTGGTCAAACAACGAGACCCAGAAAGGGTTTGAGCCAAGCATACCGCCGTTACCTGCAATCTCCCATCAGCTTTCCACCGCGGTCGACGGCTGTATAGAGTTCATCCTGGCTGACGCTGACTTGAGTCGATGTATGACTTCTCTTACATGCTACTCGTTTTGCCAGCAATAGGGAAAAAGCGACACATTTGAGAGGAGATAACAGCGGGCCTCCGCACCAATCAGACGACAGGATTCTCGGTCATCGGAGAAGGCCGAAGCTCGAATTCCTCTTTGTCCCTTTCGCCTCTCATCATCCCCCACCTCTGACCACTCCATCTCGTACTCGTACATCCACAGTTTCTTTTCCTGACTTTGACTGCCTCGCCCATCTCTGAGGATCAGAATTGATATATCCAACACTCATTCTGTCTTCTCTGGAGATCAATGGGCGGTGCAACCACGCCGACATCAGCCCGTCGAGATCGGCAGGTATTTCAGCCATGGCCACCATGATGACAGACGGCGTCAACGCGGCTTCCTCTTCACGAGAAGGGACGCAAGTTGTGGCGGAAATTGACCCGGAAACGGGCTACATCACCAACATTGACGACATCAGAGAGGCAGAATACCCTCAGCTGAAGGACACGACTTATCTCGATCACGCGGGGACTACACTATACGCAAAGTCCTTGATCCAGAAATACGCCGAGGACCTCACGGGGAACTTGTTCGGCAATCCACATTCCGCCTCAGCGTCGTCGCAGTTATCTTCTCGTCGAATTGACGACGCTCGTCTCTCGGTCTTGCGCTTCTTCAATGCTGACCCGGACAAATTCGACTTGGTTTTCGTTCCCAATGCGACGGCTGCCATCAAGCTTGTCGGAGATGCCTTCCGAGACCATGAATCCGGTTTCAATTATTATTATCATTCAGAGTCTCATACCAGTCTTGTCGGCGTGAGGGAACTGGCGACAGGGGAAACGGCCTGCTACAGCAATGACGGAGAAGTGGACGCGTGGCTGGAAGGGTTGGAAAATCAACCATCAACCGTCAAAGACGATCTATCCCTTTTTGCCTATCCCGCTCAATCAAATATGACAGGCCGCCGGCTACCACTGGAATGGATTCAAAGGATACGTGACGCCACCCAGATTTCTGGCCAACACATTTATACACTTCTCGATGCTGCCGCCCTGGTATCAACAGCTCCGCTCGACTTTTCAAATGACACAACTGCACCCGACTTTACCGCATTGAGCTTCTACAAGATTTTCGGCTTTCCGGATCTGGGGGCTCTGATCGTGCGCAGGTCCTCAGGCGGCGATACTATCCTCCGACGACGGAGGTATTTTGGCGGAGGAACGGTAGACTCGGTCGCGATGCTGGGCGAAGGCGAAAGCAACTGGCACGCGAAGAAAACGTCCCCCTCGTTGCACAGCAGTCTCGAGGACGGCACTGTGGCTTTCCACAGCATCCTTGCATTGCAGACGGCTCTGGACGTCCATCGGAGTCTGTACGGGTCGATGGAGAATGTTTCGAAGCACGTGAATTTCCTGGCTTCTACGCTCCGAGACCAGCTCCGCACCCTCCGCCATGCATCCAACGGGAGCAAGGTCTGCGTCATCTACTCCGACGATGAGCATAAGCATGTGGTTTCTTCTTCCGCACAACAAGGACCGACGATTGCGTTCAATCTGAAAGACAGCCGGGGGCGATACATCAGCAGCTCGGAGGTGGAGAAACTCGGCATCGTCAAGAACATCCAATTCAGGACAGGCGGTCTCTGCAATCCCGGCGGCATCGCACGCGACCTGGGTCTTTCACCCGACGAGTTGCGGCAGAATTATGCCGAGGGCCAACGGTGTGGAGACGAGAACGACATTATAAACGGCAAACCCACGGGTGCGATCCGGCTGAGTCTGGGGGCAATGAGCAACATGAGGGATGTGGCGACCTTTGTCGAATTTATCAAAGAGTTTTACGTCGACCGCGGCAGAGCGATACAGCCAGAAAGACAGCCATCAGTGCTTGGCCCAACTCCGAGGCTACAAGGCTTTGTGGTAGAGAGCCTGTCGGTCTTCCCCATCAAAAGTTGTGCAGCATATAGAGTCCCCTGCGATATGCTGTGGGAAGTGGGACCAAAAGGCCTTGCGTGGGATCGAGAGTGGTGTCTGGTCCATGAGGGCACCAACGTTGCGCTGAGCCAGAAGCGCTTCCCGAGGATGGCACTCGTTCGGCCGGAGATCGACCTGCAACGGAGCGTCCTTCGGGTCTCGTTCGTCCCCGAGTCTTCGCAGAACAAGAAGACGCTCGACCTCAGTTTGGACTCGGACCCTATACGCGCCGGCACCATTACTAAATGCGAACGCACAACCAACAAATCATCCAATGTATGTGGCGAGAATGTCCAAGTTCATGTCTACACTTCTCCCGAAGTGGTGAAATTCTTCACCGAAGCGTTAGGGGTGCCCTGTACGCTCGCGAGGTTTCCAAATGACGGCACCGTCAGACAGGCAAAAGTGCGAGTACCTGGTGGGCATCGTGGAAAACAAGCCACCGAGGTGGGAAAATCAATCGCTTTGTCCAACGAAAGCCCCATCTTGCTTGTTTCTCGTTCCAGCGTGAATCGTCTCAATGAGCAAATCAAGCAGAATGGGGGCGTTGGCAGGGCTGTCACAGCTGACTCTTTCCGTGGGAACGTCGTCATGGCCGAGGAACTTGAAGGAGGGCAAATGGAAACGCCATACATCGAGGATGAGTGGACGGGAGTACAAATTGGAGACAATCCCGCGAACGCTTTTGAAGTCCTGGGGCCCTGCCAACGATGTCAAATGGTTTGCGTGGACCAGAACAGCGCACAAAGGAGGCAAGAGCCTTTCAGTACCTTGGCCAAGACAAGGCGAAGGGAAGGCCGAGTTTGGTTTGGCATGCACATGTGTCTGAAGCCGGGCGGCATGACGGAGGATTTGTCTCGTTGGCCGTCTGTTAGCATCAAGGTTGGAGATCGGATCACGCCATGGACAGCAAACTGATATGCTCCCGTTTCAGAGAGTTCGACAGTGCGGCACCCAGAGTCCATGGATTGACACAACTCTCCGAAGTGGCCCAAGACAGAAAACGTATCTCGGATCTCATCTTCTCAACACAGCCAGTCTAGCCTTACAGAGGTTTCGAAGCGACGGGCACAGTTGCATCAATGGAACCCTCGCAGAAGAGTCTCGACCAACAAGACCAGAGAAGAGTGGACCAAGACCGGCGCATCTGCCGTTTCTGGACAGAAAGAACAATTTGAAGGATTTGGGCGTGCTGTGGGACAGACGTGGCCTCGGTGGGTCGCTTGCCTTTTGCCAAACGACATGTCTGACATAATAGCCTTAGAAGTTAGGCTGAGCATTAGAACATCTGCGAGTTCATTGCGATAGGATAGTACGGCAATAGGGGCCGTGTCTGATTAGGGATCTGCAGTGACTGCCAAAACGTTGTTTATGTTCCCAAGTTTGTTGGGCAATGCACTTGTTAAATCTAGGTGACGAGTTTGGTGCCGGTGCCTTGGGGTAATCGGCGAGTTCGGGCTTTAGATGAAACCGGCAGCTTCCAGTGGCGCAGATGCTAGGGAGCATGGGGAGGTTGGAGACTCGTGAGCTAACAAGCCACAAGACCAGGGAAGAATGACTGCGGATACGGCGGGGATATTCCCTGTTCCGCTCGCTAGTTAGGCACACAGACTCACTCAATGGGAGGTCAAGCCCCACGAGCCTGCATACCTACGAAGAGCACTCCATGACATGGGCTGCGGTCGCGTTGGCTGGTCTTGAAGGTGTCTCACCGAGCATAGGGTAGGTATACTGAACAACAATACCCTTCTGAGGAGATAGAGGCCCATGCTGGCCATGAAGGATTCGGTCGGTACTGCCTTTGAGAGGCGGCCCAAGAAAGCAGCCCGAGACCAGCGGGTGTCTGACGTCTGAAAGAAAGTAAACAGCCTCATCCTCCGGACGAATCTGGTGTTCGCGCTTGCTTCTTCGCGTCATGTGTGTCTTTCAGTATCTGTGTTGTCGCATGACAACCAACCTTGAACCCACCTGCGTACTCGTAATGGACAAGATTACCTGTAAGTGATCAGTGGGTTCGTCCGGCTAAGAAGGCAGTGATGATCATAACTAGAAGGGAGGGAAGGATCGGAGAATTTTTCGTGAGACTGAGTGCCTGGGCGCCAGCTCAGCGTTAGAATGTCAGCCACAGACCAGCCATGACTCGTAGGCGGTACCTGAAAAGCCTTGTCCTCACGTTTGTTTCAGTCTTGAGGCATGGGGCAGCCTTTTTCCGGCGTAGTGCACGCCACTATGGCCAACGAAGACTGAGGATTTATGGAGTTAGTCGACAACCTGACCGAAACAGGACGGCACTTTGACGATTTGGGAGAGACCATTCGAAGCAGAAATGGAGCAGAGCAGAGCTCCAACCAACAGAGTCCAAGAGCGTGTGACGTTTGGCTGCGAGAGTTCACAAAGGTCCAAGAGCTAAGTGGTGGTGGTGCTGGTGGATTGCCATAGGCGAGGTTGGTCGGAGCTGGAAGAGGACGATTGGTGCACGAAGCACCAGCTGGTGCCAGAGCCAAAGGCGCTACGCTGGCTGGCTGGGCTCTTTACCAGCCACCAGCAGCCACCGATGCCATGGCGTCATTCGGGAGCTGGGATCCAAGGAGGGATGTATGTCAATCGGCTCGCCGGCAAGACGAGAGAATGGACGATGTGGCAGCAAGAAAATTGGAGAGATGGACGGAGCTGAAGCTTGAAACAGGTACGTACGAATAATAGGTGCGCACGTAGCGAGGGTAGTTGCCCCCAGCGCCTGAGGCTCACGAACCAGAATCTCTAGGCAGACTTTATAGGCAGTGGAAGTACCTAGCGAGCTAGGTAGCTCGGTAGGTACTTATGCTGTAGGCAAGTTGTCGCGGCTGGCCCCAAAACGAACAGGCGTCACTAGCCTCATGACTGAACCACCCTCGAACCTGCAGCGGGCGCCCGTTCCTGGAGCCCTGGGGCGCTGGGGCCGAGGCGCGTCATAGGGCAGCGTCACTGGTTGGTGCTGGCTGCAAGCTCCTCAACACTGCCACTCTGCCACCTTCTGCCACACTTGGTCTTCGCATGGACGTTTGTCAATCAATCCCATCAATTCTCCTACTCACGAATCATACCTTTCCATCTCCCAACTTGTTGGCTGATCTTCTCCTCTCATCTGCCACATCTAAACCGTCGAAAGTCAATCAAAAGATCCCACCGTAAATCAGTGGCTCAAAGACCTAAGCGACACAGGGGTGGTGTTACGGGCAGCACTCCTCCTCATCCTCCCTCTCCTCGCCCTGACGCCACCTGTTTATCTTTTGCCGTTGCGATCTTCGAGCCGCTTGTGGCCACCCCGGCTAAAGAGAGACAAGTTAAAACGAATCCACGTCCAGCTTCCTGCAGCTCTTAGCTGCCAGGGTCTCTTGAACCTGCCTCTTTTTCTCCCCCAGTCTCCGATCCCACTTACGTTCCACGATTCGGTTTGCCTGCGCCTCTTTTCCTCTTTCATCACCATCTGCTCTCCATCCTCCTCTTCATTCCGTCGAACCAGACAACACACTGGCTCTGGAGCATCCTTTGGAACAAGTCAAGCCCAGCCAAGTCCCACAAGCCAAACTTGAAGCGCAAGCCCATCCCAAGCAGAATCCACCAGCCAGGGTGTACCCAAGAGCAGGACCCTTTATTATTAGTTCGTTCAGCACGGGCCTGCCTGCCTGAGCCACTCGACCTCTCCTCGCTGCTGCTCCACTCGAATACCGTCACCACCTCCATCACCCGTAGCCCTCAACCACTGGGCCGGTTCACAACCATACGAAACCCGTCACTCATCTTTCCTTTCTTCTCCCACTCGGCTGGTCGCGAGCCGTTTGCCATAGAAAACCATTACGGCCAAAAGTAAAAAAATCTTTTTGCTGTACGAGGACCCGACGATCTGACGAACTTGACATCGAGTCAACCTCCATCCAAAGAGCCGCTCACATTCTCGAAATTTGACCCCCGCTCCTAATCGCGATTCATCAGATTGCAGTCAACCAAACAGTCAAAGATCCTCGTCATTTCAAGTCGGCTATCCTGTTGAGATCCCACCTACCGCCAACCATTCCGAAGCATTTACAGCGCTCACCTCGCTCCAGCCAAGCAAGTACCTGCCTACCAGTTATTCCGCCGCCCTCGTCGCTTCAGTCCTTCCCTTCGTCCTATCCCGTACACGACTTCAGCAGCTACGAAAATCCAGAGCGACCTCTTCTGCGCAGATCCCCAGGCCATATTCCTGTTGTATTCAGTGGCGCGCAATTTCTCAACCACTTCCCCTCACCGTGGAAACCCGACATCCTGCTCCTTTCGCCATTTCGCACTTTCGTTCTCTTCATCACTTGATCCCTTGAAGCTCAGTCGAATCCACTCATTGAACTGAGGTTGAAGCTGTCCGTTTCCCGGAACGCATAAAAGTACATATTTTTCAGAACACCTCAGTCTCGCTTCAGAATCCAGTCCGCAGTTTGAACCTGCCGAAACCGCCGAGAAACTGGCCAACCCCAGGCACTGCGCCTCCATAACATGCTGCGCATCGCTTTCTGCAGGGTGTCTAAGAGATAGGAGAAAAAAAGAGAAAGAGGTTCGTCGGCGTCCGTTGGCCGATTTGTCAATCTGTGCAATAAGACATCCTGCTCTGCCGTGAGGCTGAAAACTGCCTCGTACTCAGCCTACTTTTTTTTCCAGCTCGGGAAGCCCAGCACCGCTCAACCTATGCGCCCTGCAAAAGGTACGCCACCCTCAAACATCTGTAATCGTCTCGCGAATCCCTTTATTCCTCCACTATGGCCTATGAATAGTCCATAACCGCCTATTCCCAGTATCTACAACTCCAGCATTGCCTAACACGCAAAGTTGGACTCAGAGACTTGCGCGCTGACTGCCCATGTAGGCTACGGTGACCCTTGCGACTTTAGATCTCGTTGATGGCTGAATCCAGCCCAGATCCGCAAATATCCCCAGAGGATTCTGCTCCGATCTCCCCCACATTCGTTAAACCTCCTAGCTCAGCGCAATCTCCTTCGAAAGCCCGGGCCAGATCGCGCGCCGACTCTGAAGAGTCGTCGAGACCTGGCAAGAAACCAAGGCTCGAAGGCCCTTTAATGACTGCCGCCGCCGCATTCGCCGAGGAACAACAGAGAACATCTTCATCTACGCCTCCCCCGACATCTGGAACAAGTCCAAATCCGTCCCACCAAGCCCGAAGTGCGCTCATGGGCGCAAATTCGAATGTGACGAGCAAAGCTCCAGAGCCGACCTCAGACATTCCCTCAGATCCGGCAACTACAGTCAGCGAACCATTAGCTGTGGTGGCGGAAAACATTCAGCAACCGACTGGATCTGTTCTGGAAGGCTCGGTTTCTGGAGACAACCATGCAGCGCTAACTAGTCCCACGAGTATGTCGAGTGGTGGAACACTGGGAACCCTAGAAGGCGTGGCAGCCGCCTCGGGTATGACTACCACCGTGGGCAGTCCACTTGCGCTCGAAGACACAGTGCGTCAGGTCGTGAACGCAGAGGCAGGCTCTACCTCTCCTGGCGGTGTCGCAAAGACAGGGGCGCTCTCGTACCCGACCCCCTTCTTACAACCACAAGTAGCGGAGAACGCTGCTAGACGAGGGATGAGCTTGCCTCATTCCGGTACACGACAAGGTACAAAATCTCCTTCCAGCAAAAAGCACAGATGCCCCTACTGCGCCACCGAGTTTACTCGTCATCACAATCTGAAGAGCCATCTGTTAACGCATAGCCAAGAAAAACCCTACGTCTGCTCGACCTGCTCATCGCGCTTCCGCCGACTTCACGACCTCAAGCGGCACACCAAGCTTCACACCGGCGAAAGACCCCATATCTGCCCCAAATGTGGCCGCAAGTTTGCCCGGGGCGATGCTTTGGCCCGCCACAACAAAGGGCCGGGAGGTTGCGCCGGACGGAGATCCAGCATGGGCAGTTTTGGTGGCGAAGAAGAGGCGGACGCGGACGAGTCAATGGAGGGCGTGGTGTACGGCGAACCCGAACCTCTAGAGGATGAAGAGGGTAATGACAAACGACCGGGCATCCGCCGACAAGCACCTTCAGGAGACGACACGCTGGACGATCCCGGTCATACGTCTCGAATTCCGAGCACATATCCTCCGATACAGGGCCGCCCTCCTGGAGGGATCGCCAGTGGTCAGTTTCCACCTCGACCTGGGTTTAACCAACAAGGTCCGGGCCCCAGCAATGCCCCCGTGCCTTCATCTGCAGCGATGCCGTTCCCACCCATGTCCGGGTCATCCTCCAGTTCGCGGCCCTCGGCTCCAGGTACCGTCTACCCGCAGAATCCAATGACAGAGAGTCCAAAACCTCTTTCGCCTGGTCAAGCGCAGAGGAGTGGCCAGGTCCCTGGAGGTGATGGTAGCATCGGTAGGAACCGTTCTCCCAGCACGACCTTTTACCCACAACCGCACGGACGATCCGGCGGTGGTTCAGGTTCCTCTCTGGGTGTACCTTCGGGTGGTCCACAGCTGCCTCCTCCTCACACGCTAAACCCGCCGGATGCAAGATATACCCTACCCAGTCAAGGTGGGCCAGCGCATCCTCCTACGCAGCCTAGCGGGCCACCCACTCACATGAGTGGAAGTGGTCCCTTATCATCCCACAGCAACAGTCTGTCGAGTCATGGTCATTCCGCCCATGGCAGTGGAGACACATCCAAAGCCATATTTGCGCAAGAGGAGCGATTATGGGCATATGTGACTAGCCTGGAGCAACGGATCAACGGCATGCAAGAAGAGATTAATTCGTTGAAGCATCAACTGGCCAATGCTACACAGCAACAACAGCAACGGGTTTGAAACGTCTTTCAGTATGATACAGAGCACTCTTAAGCAACAACGATTTTGCTCACCAGCCAGCGAGAAAGGAAAAGTGAATATGACGTTACAGATATTGTTCGGGCTCGACGTGGAGTTCGAAGACGAAAAGTAAAAACATGGCACAGTCAAAAGCATCAGGGTATGCTGCCGGGGTTTTATCCGATTCTTGCATTTTGCTTGGGCATGTTACAGATACCCCTCGTGTTGCATCTTTTTTCCCTCTCTTTTTTTGATTTATTCCATTCGATGGGACATTGCAGGTCCAAAAGACTGGGCTCTCTCCCCGTGGGTATGGCCTTTGGCGTTGAGCGAAGACGGCGGGTTGGACGGGGCTTTCGACACAGGCAAAGCGCCATGTGACGGCGCCGAGATGATCTCAGTGCTCGAGACGGAAAACGGGCAAGGGCAAAAGGCGGTTAGGTACGGGGTGGGAACGAGATCATTGAATGATGGGCCAGATGATTGTGTTTGTTGTTTCACTTATTCTACATCAATGTGTATATGTACATTACGGGGTTTTTTATACCATTAACCAAGAGTGGCCTGGATTCATGCTTGCCATGCAAGGGTTGCATCAGAAGAGGACATGTGCAGTGAATACAACTATTTGGAAAAGGACTAGGTGTGGGAATTGGTCATGTCCCTGGAGTTCTACCGCCCTCTACATGAGCTGTACCGTGTATTCGACCCCTTCTTACCAGATCTACCGTACGTACAAAATAACCTTGGAAGCTGATTCCGTGGCTCTTGATGGCTCACACCAGTTTATTGCGGTGCCTGTTACCCGTCCACATCGGTCGAATTGCTGAGTGTTGCGTATTTCGTGTAGTTCTGTTCGTACTGCTCCAGCTTGTTCATGACGGCCTTGTAGGCGTCGGTGCCGATGACGACCCGCAAGGGAGGGTTGGGCATGATGGCCAGCTCGTACATGGCCTTTGCGCCCTTTTTGGGGTCGCCCGCCTGTGTGCCGTGCCGGGCCGTCATGCGTTCCTCGGCGTTGAGGTCTGTAGAGTTCATTAGTGATGGTGAGCGGGCATGAAGAAGGGGGGAGGGAGAATGCATGTAAGAGACGTACGGTCATAGGCAGGGTGGCGTGTAGCAAAGGTCATTGAGCGACCGGCCCAGTCTGTTCTGGAGGAGTGTTAGCACGGGTATCAATATAGAATGGAGAAGGCCATCCCATGCCACGGCAGCAAGAAAGACGAATGATATTGTTTCGCTTCGCTCAACAGGATATAACGTACCTGAACCCGCCCGGCTCGATCAGCGTGAACTTGATCCCCCACTCAGGCTTGACCTCATGGCTGAGCGCCTCGGTGAAGCCCTCGACCGCCCACTTACTCGCACAATAGATACTGAAAAGCGGCACCCCCCTCTGCCCGCCAATGCTTGTGATCTGCTGGATCAACCCGCCCTGTGGTTCCTGCCTGTCTCTCATGGTCTCCAACGCCTCACGGGTGACATCCAACACCCCAAAGAAATTGATGTCCATCTGCTGCCGGATTTGGTCCTCGGTGCATTCCTCAAAACAGCCCGCGAGACCGTACCCGGCGTTGTTGACCACGACGTCGATGCGGCCGAATTTCTCGAGGGTGGAGGAGAAGGCTTGTTTGATTGAGGATTTGTCGGTGACGTCGAGACGCAGAGCTAGGTATGTGTCCGGGGTGGTGTTGGTGAAGGAGAGCTGCGATGGGTCCCGCGCTGTGGCGGCCACAATGTCGCCCCGGTCAAGGACTTGTTGGGCGTAGTCGCGACCGAAGCCGGTGGACGTGCCGGTGATGAGGAAGACTCGAGGCATTTTTTTTGGTCCGCCTCGTTTACTAGGATGGGGATTTTGCGGTGACTGGAACGTTCCTGATTGATTGATTGATTGATGGATGGATGGTCAGGCTTCCGATGACACCACGCAGAGTTCAAAGAGTGAACGCAGAGCTGTGTATATCGACGACGTCACCAGACGTTCGCCTCGTCGTCTGCGTGTCGTTTGAGTTATTTTGATGTTGGTGGCCTCTTACCTCGAGGAAACTCAAAAAGACCGACTTGCTCTGGCTGCTCTTCGTGCGTCCCAACGTTTTCCTTCTGCTCTTTAAAATCTCTATCGCACAGAGCTGGAGTGACGCGTGCTGGACGTTCCCATTTACTTTTTATCGCGGGGACGGTGCGACAAGAGGTCCACCAATCCACCGAATACCCTTGGTTGACCGTATCAACGGCGGCATTTCTGGTTTCGATATCCGATTGACCGCATTTGGGTTTTTTCTGGGGATGTTTATGGAGACCCGCTGAGCGAATCGCAACGAGAGAAGAGTACCTCGTACGTCGCGACGCTCGCCGGAGCTAGCCCCCACCATTGCAGGACTGCTTCTCGCAGGCCCAGCGTGGCGACGACTTTCTATCTTTGGCAAGAGGAGAATAGACAGGCTGTAACCTCTTGGGAGAAGAGAGGAGGACAACGACGAGGACGAGGACGTTTCAGCAACCGAGTTTCTGTACGTGATTGTGGTGGCCCGCTCTTCCAACCCTTGCTTCCCGCCCTTGCGCCAAAGAAACGCCCTGTTTCGCGGCTCTTGGTCCGCAATTTCGGGTGTCCTCGAGAGAACTCCATCCGGGGGCACGACGTCGTCAGTCGTCGACGCGAGGCGAGCTGAAGGCCCGATAGCCGACTGATACGGGCGGCCAAGCGAGCTGGATACAGCTATCAGATCAATCCTCGTATTTCGAGCCCCGGGTCATCCCACCGCCTCCTCATCTACAGCATCCGGGATCCCACAGGGCCAGAGCTTCTCTTTGTTCCCCTCCTCCATCTCGACTTCATATATACTACGCATTTCACTCCCGTCATCATTCCGGGGGTCTTATCACTTGATCTACGACTGTCTATTGATCTGCCTCTGCTCGCCCATTTTCTGGTTTTCTGGTTCTCGAATTTCGCCAAAGCGCCCCTTGTCGGTGCCGCGCGTCCCTCAGCGCTGGAGAGCAAAGGCACAGCGACGGCGATCAACACTTTTGAATAGGACCCTGTTCGCCTCTGCATTGCATTTCATGACATCAGGACAAGGCTGTAGCACGGATTGATCTCGGCGAGGCACCGATTCCCTTTGGATTCAGCAGCCTTGCTGTCTTCCTCTCAGCCTTGTATACCAGCCAGTTTCCGACCATGTGGAACAATTCACCCCGCTATTACCCTCACCAGGGCCCTCCTGGACCATACATTCATCGCCAATCCACCATGAGCGACCAGATGTCCGTCTCTTCGGGGACAACAGGAGTCATGAGCCAAGGGAGCCATCCCCATCCCCAGGGCTACAATAATGTCCAACAAGCTAGTCCACATACCTACAATCCCACCACCACCACCTACTTCTATCCGAGCAGCCACATCCACAACGCGCCTCTTTCTCACCCACTGGCCGCCCAGAGCCATCCATACATCTCGTCACCGCCGATAGCAACAGGGCCTCCACCATCGCTCACCACCATCCTCCTGACGTCGGCCCCGCAACAATTCGCCCAAGCAACAGAACATCCCTTCCTCCGTCTGGCGGGGCAGGGCACTCTTCCAAAACACACTTTATCGCGCTGGCTCTCCCAAGACCGGCTGTACGCACAGGCCTACATGGGCTTCATCGGCTCTCTCATCGCCCGCGTCGACCTACCCTACGTCAACGTGACGGACAAATCGACGTCCCTGCGCTGGCGCATCGTGAACTGTCTGACGGGGGCCCTGCAGAACATCCACACCGAGTTGAAGTTCTTCGAGCACACCGCGGCCAAGTATGGCCTCGAATTGGACGCGCCCACCCGCGCCGATGGCATGTTCACCGCCGAGCACGCCACGAAGCAGTATATCGACCTGTTCCGAGCCTTTTGGACCGACCCCAGCATGAGTTTGCTCGAAGGCATGGTCGTGCTCTGGGCGACCGAGACGGTATACCTGAGCGCGTGGAACTACGCCAAGTCCATGGGGCAGAAGAAGAAGCCCACCACTGCCGCCGATGCGGGCTGTGGAGACACAAAGGAAGCGACGGCGACGACGACAAAGTCGTCCGAAGGCGTCATGTCCGAACTGGAAGGCAGCGAGGTCAACACATTGCACAACAACGATAACGAGACGGCCGGGCGGGACGACGCACACGAAAAAAGCAATAACGTCCACGACAGCACCAATCCTGCTGCTGACGACGACACCGAGTCCGCCACAACCCCAAGCACAGCGGCGCGCACCAGCACCGCCACCACCACTCACTCGAGCGACCTCGACGGCGGCGCCCTCCGCGACGCCTTCATCCCCAACTGGACGTCGGCCGAGTTCGAGGCCTTTGTCGCCGACATCGCCGAGCTGACCGACCTGCTGGCCGAGCGCGAGGACGCCGTCACCCGCAGGCTCGACGTCTACCGCGCCGTGTGGAAGCATATCTTGGATGTCGAGAGGAGGTTCTGGCCTGATGTCAGTGTCGGCGGAGGGGCGGGTTCTTGAGCCAGACCCCATCTCTCAAAGGAGGGAGGTTTCTCTGGGAGAGTTCTACGGGGCAAAGTCGAAGCAAAGTTTGGAAATCAGATCCGAAGGGAAAATGCTCAGTAGGGGGAGAAATAAGGAAATTATTTGTGTTTTAAATTTTTGTTGGTAATTCTTTTTAAGGGAAAATTAGGAGAAGCGATGGGGATTATATATCAGTCACATCGGTTGAAAAGCACCCTATCTGTGCTTAGGTAGTTTTGTATTACGAACCCCTTTTCATCATCGTCATTCACATCGTCATGTTCATCCTTTGACATCTAGCTTCTCGCGTGCCTACATGCAGTGGCAGATGGTGCCTCGTATCTGGTACCTCCAACTCCACTCAGCCCTGATGGAAACGCGAACCGCTCTGCATATCCCATGGGTGCATGGAGCTTCAATCTTCACGGCGGCGGATCTAATTCTTGATCCGCAATGCCTCTCATCAGTCCCACAGGATGGTCAGTCTCTTCACGAGAGGTTTGACTAGGTGACCTGGACAAGCTCCCGTATAGCGGAGACCAGCGCTCAACAAATGTTGAAGTTCAAAGGACAACGTGGAGCTGGGCACTGAAGCCGTACTTCGTGTTGCCGTATGGAATGTGACCCATTCTGCACATCTCTGGATGACCTCGGGAGTGCGCAACTAGGCTCCGCTGGGTCGCTAATTGTCACGGGAGATGGTCCTTCGAAATTTCGCGCATCCACATTGCTTTGCCCAGTTTTCAAGCAGCCCAAATCGTAATTCTTTCCGGTTCATTTCATGTCCTTGCCACTTCTGCTCATCGGCAAATTGTTCTCGGCGAAGCTCTTGCAGAACTGGTCTCTCGGCCAGAAGACTCGACGCCATCGGATCAAGTTGATGGAACTTGACAGCTAAATCCGCTCAGCTCCTCCCGTCCTCTGCCGGGCGTTTAGCATGGGAGTATTGTAGAACCCATTCGTCCCCAAAGCTTGAGCTGACAACACAGCGAGCAATGCTGGGCGGGGTAGAAGCTCGAATCCAGCTCTTATCACTATACAGGCCGGACGTTGTCAGCGTGCCAGAACCCCATCACGGCACCGGTCTCTGTGACCCAGTCTCTTGTAGCATGAACGGCCGCCTTTGCCATTCCTGTATTCTTCCTTCTATGGCCCTTCTTGAAGCCAACACCCTCTCTTTCACCCGTGGCATACTCGGATCCCATGCTTGGCAGGACATTCTCTCCGGCACTGAGGCTGACGAAAAGAGCGAATGGGACGAGCCAGACGCAGAGTCCAAAGTAGGATGCAATCTCGGTGAAAGTTGGTTGATCATACACGGGCGGTGCCGAATACCAATCTCGCCTGCTGCTCGGTGGTGCACCCCGATATGGACCTCCTCTTGTAGTTGTATCGCTAAAGTGTCTGAACCATAACCAATGGTTAAGGATGACCAGGGCACAGCTGCTCAGAAAAAAAGGATCGGACAATTTCACGATGGGGAAATGCCGCAGATTTGTCGCGTAGACACCGTGACTGGCCACGCCCAACAGGGTAAGATACCAGGGGAATCCATCGACGACCCAGAGTAGTATCTGTGTGATCACCACGACATAAATCAGGCGCTTGAGTAGTTTTGCACTGAGGACGGTGTGCTCTTCTACGAGCTCGGAGAGGTAATAGAGACCCGAGGCGATGGAGAGAGTGAGGAATCCGAACCCGAGTATGAGGCCGGTGTACCCCACGAGGGGAAGAATCCACATGGTTCGTCTGTAGGCGACTGGGTTTAATCCGCAGGCAGGAGTCGGCAACAAGGATCAGTGAGTGAAGAGTAGGCGGGCCATTGAGTTGAAGGAACGGAGGAAGGACAAGTTCGGGATTGCGTTGTTACCAAGCTGTTCAATGCCGCGATGAAAGGGGGAAATGACACCTGGACAAAGAATGGGAGACGCAAAGCCTGCGCCGCGTGACGTCGATTGAGGCTCAAAAAGGGTTCTTGGCATGTTTGCTATGTGCATCATACGAGATGGAGAGTTGGAGCCGCCGCGACCGCCATTCTATTTCCTGCTGGATTCCTTTACAATTGAGAACATGCCTAGGTACCAGCACGGGTAACTATCGGTTCATGAGGTTTATTTCGTCGACAGCCTATCCACCCGGAGTCTCCCTCAGCATAACAATAAGTGACTCAGAAACGTCTTGTTTAAGATATCGAGGGACAACCGACCCTTGATTCACTCGCTTCTCAGGTGGCCAGTCACAACAGACTTTGCAAGGCAAGGCTCTTGTCAGCAGACCGTTGTGAACGTTAGTCAAGGCCAGATGTATTGCTCAATTTGACACTGTGAATGTCGTGGGATCGACGATGCTGATGCACTGTTGCCACATGGATCTCACGGGCCAGACAGACAATAAAACTTTACCATGGATCGGAAATACTGGTGACCTCGCACTGCGATCATCCGGCAAACTCAATCTCCCAGCATTGACAATGTGCTTGACTCATTACCAGATGTTTCGAAATGCTGTGTCGATTGTCTCTGCTGTTGCCAGGTCCGTTTGAGGCCAGTCCACCGAGACTTCTGGCGAGAAATTGCTGGCCAGTTGGATTGAGCGCGAAAATGGCTTGCAGACCAATCATGTATGGCCCCCCAGCAGCGGACGATGCTTCTGGTTCAGACACGCTGCCCAGAAATCTCAAGGAAGACAGAGTTGTATTTGGGCTTTGTTGGCACGAGGCTAGCAGAACAAAGCGGGCCCATTTGGCACTGCTGAGGGGAAGTCATGGAAGGATTGACCCTGAGCGCTAATAACGTTATCTGGTTCATGGCAGCGCTGTGATAGAGCCTAGTTGCTGCAAGCCGTGGGATTGCAATGCGCGGAAGTCTCGTCGCATAACTAGGGTTTCGACCAGTACACGATTGCCATTTTTCATCACTGTTGATGGACAGTGACGATCGTATATAACTGCAGTGTTTGAGCAGTTTGATACGAGTTGCGGCGATAAAGCTTTGCCTTATCATGTCCCTGACTGAAGTGATAGACAAGTAGCCAATCCCGACATTGAATTGAGGAAAAGCATGAGGGGTTGCAATACCACCGACATTGGCAGCATCCTGATCCAGACCAAATACAGTATAGGACAAGATAGGACAAGATAGTAGTACAAGTGATCGACACTTTCGGGGATCAAGAATCCGCCTCCACTTTGGCTGCTAGTATACATTGTAAGACTCTGTTCTATGGCAGCGGCCCGCCCCATATTCCACCGTGCGAGTTTGCTGTTCGACCTCTTCTCGGCTGATGCATCTTGTTGCCAATGGCGCCTTGGACGAAGAGCTATTCGGCAGTGACCTTATCGTGCTTGTCTGGGCCCCATGGGTACCCTGTATGGTTTTGCAGCTCAAGCCCACGCTATGCATGTCACCTTCCCCCTCCGTCCTGTTTGTCGCCATTCTGCTACGGGCTCGCTCGCCGTTTCCGGGGTCATTCTTGGTGAAATCCACAGGCACAGGAACATACCTAGGTAACTACGAGTACATGCGGTGGGAAATATGTGCTTGTACCCGAATTTGAAGCAGCGAGGCAACCCGATTCAGCAATTTGGCCATGCAGCCATCGTCCTTGTAACACCCTGCTCATGCTGCCCAGAGTCAGGGATGCACTGTCTCGCTTCGCCTCTGTTCTTCTTTGGGCACCCTCTGCGTGATTGATGGAATTTCGCCAGATTGGTCCACCGCTCTTCCAATCGAGCTTTCGTGATCTGTGGGAAACATGAACCGATTGAGACCGTTTGTTTCCTATCACTTTATCACCCTCGCTTTTCTTCCACCAACGCTTCTGGCCTCCCTGAATACTTGCTTGCCATAGCGTGGGCTGGACTATCCACGGTTTTGCAGGGAGCCATCGGCAAGCCATCACTTGCAGATCGTTGATATTGAGACTCCTTCCCTTTCTTCATTTCTTCTCCCTCATTTCGCGGTGCCTCTTCCCTTGGAATCCTCAGTCTTGCCTGTGACTGTCCGCGCCGAAGATGGAATCCTACGAAGTGCTTTCGGCGAAGACTCCACAAGTTAACGTTGAAGATGAGCGGAAAGGACACGCGACGCAGTATCGCGGCCAAAGGACCGAGGGAACCAGAAACACATCGACAAGAGTTCGAGTGAGTATTCTTCACGCCCAAAAGATGTGGCTGCACACTGAGCCTGTCCACAGAGAATTTTCAGCTTTGCTCAGATTTTCTTTTTCGCGCTCAGTTACATGTCGTCCTGGGAGGCCATTGCATCGTGCGATTGATGTCTCCCTGCACGCCTTCCGTCTGCAAGCTAATCGCAGGTAGAAACATCGCATACTTCTTCTGGAATGGCGGGCCTCGCTCTCTTTCGTTTGGATACCTGGTTGTCATCTCAGGTGTGCTGTGTCAAGTCGCATCCATGGCTGAGATGGCTTCGGTACAGCCCATTGCAGGCGCGCAGTACCACTGGACTCACTACCTCGCGCCGCCATCACAACGACGCTTCATCACCTGGATGCAAGGCTGGATCACCTGGTTCTCCTGGATCTCGCTCCTGGCTGGCGTGGCTAATATTGCCGCTCTCATGATCCAGGCACTGGTCATTGCCAACTACCCTACCTACATTCCACACGGTTGGCATGTGACCTTGATCATCTACGCCTTACTCCTTGTCCAGGGATTGATGAATCAGTACGCTTTCTGGACAATCCCCTGGATCGAGTTGCTCTCCGGTTTCTTACACGTCATCATGTGGGTGGTCTTCGTTGCTGTATTGGTTACGCTCGCCCCTCGCCATACGGCAGATTTTGTCTTCTTGGAGAAGTCGGCTCTCTCCGGCTGGAACAATGAGTATGTCTCATTCAACCTCGGTATGCTCACTGCTACCTGGGGTTTCGTAGGTAAATTGCATACATGCATACACAAATCCATTCCGGATGCTGATTAACTGGCTGCAGGTTTCGATGGAGCAGTCCATATGTCTGAAGAAGTGCGAAAGGCGCGACATGCAGTGCCGAGAGCCATGTTCTGGAGTATCGTCATGAATGGTGCGCTTGCATACGGGATGGTGCTCGTCTTCCTGTTTTGCGCAGAAGATGTCAACGACCTGCTCTCTTCGGGTTATCCTCTGCTGCTCATCTGCATCAATGCCACGCAGTCCACAAGCGCCGGCTCGGCAATGGTGGGCCTGTCGATGATTGTCACGCTGGCCTGCTGTCTGGGCAGCATTGCGTCCGCATCGCGATTGACTTGGGCTTGGTCTCGAGACGGAGCCCTCCCGGCCTATTTCTCGTACATCGACCCGAAGCAGCGCATCCCGGTTCGCTCAGTCTGGTTGCCCGTCTTCATTGTCATGCTGCTGGCTCTCCTCAATATCGGCAGCAGCATCGCGTTCAACGTCATCGTGGCGCTGTCCACTCTCGGCCTGTACCAGTCCTACCTCATGGCGATCGCCTGTATGATCTGGGCTCGGTATAAAGGGAGGGTCGAGCCCTCAGGCTGGTCTCTGGGACGCTGGGGTGTCTACATCAACGTCTTTGCGGTCGTCTACTCGGCATATATCATGGTCTTCCTCTGCTTCCCATCCTTCCTCCCCATCAACGGCTCAGATATGAACTATGCCCTCCCAATCAATGCCTTTGTCCAGCTCGTTACGCTGGCCCTGTGGTTCTTGTGGGGTAAGCGAAACTGGAAAGGTCTCAACAAGGACGTCGTCGATGCTGTCGTGGCTGATTCGGATCGCAACACCAAGGATTAGACGGGAAAGGCCATCGGGCGCAACGTCAGGAATACACATATTTACTCACCTTTGGCGTTTTAGGGGTTTTGACAGTAATCGTTGGCGTCCCATCTAGAGCCGAAACTGCATGAATTGCATTGATTTGATATTCGCCTGTCGCAACTCTACAAGAGTCGCGGTCAAGAGTAGGAGCTGGCGTATCCCCGGCGATTCAATATGCTCAGTGATTCAGCAATAGAAAAGAAAGATTATACATACAATGCAAGAGATTGATTGCCTCTCTATCTGTGGATGTCTCTCGTCTTTCCAGAAGTAGACCTTTTACGACGCAAGCCCCAAATCGAAAAGCTGAAGTGATGACTATGTCTCTCTCGAGTAAGGCTGTGGGCGTTTCCTCCGACGAGGCTGAGGGCCCCCCCCCC